TGTAGCTCAGTGTGAAGGTTGTGGGTTCAATGCCCAGTACCTCAATCATCAATCAATCAATCTCCATAAAAGGTCCATTTAAGAAAAATCAAATGGAAACAAAAAAGTGCCATCAAAATTATTTTGTCTTTATCCTTGCAAAACTATAATATTTATAAATGTTTTTAAGCACTGCATTTCAAAATACTACTAATAATGTCTCTGTGTTTAATGTATACAGTATTGGAATGTACAACAGTAATAGCAGTAAATGTCAGACAATAGTAAAATAACTTAAGGATTCTACAAACTTTTTAACTTCCACAAAGAGGCCAATATTAGATTTGGAAGGATCCATATTGTAATATCCAGGATTATCACTTAAAGAATAGAAATAGAGCACGTAACTTACAAACCAGTAAAGGGGAAGGAAAAGTGAAATTTTAAAAGTCAACCCTAAAGAAAACACAAGAGGATAGAAAAAGAAACAACAAACGGGTAGAGTAGAAAAAATAAGATGCCAGGTTTAAATCTAAAGATATCAGTAATTATATTAAATGTAGGTAGATTAAATGCTTCATTCCAAAGAAGAAGAGAATTGGATTAGATTCTTTAAATCTAACAATTTGATGTTTATAAGAGATAAAGCTAGACCATAATGTCCCAGCAAGTTGAAAATAAAATGATAGAAAAAACATACCACCCAAGTGCTAACTCAAAAAAAGATGAGGTAACTATATTAATATTGGGTAATAAGATAGGCCTTCATAAGAAAGGTTCAACTGACTAGACATGTGTAATAATTCCAATTTTTTATTTAACTAATAGCATAGACTAAACTATATTAAAATCTATAAATCAAAATTTGACAGTACTTCAAGGAAAAACAAGTCTGAAATTCTTCAGTAAACAATAGAACAAACAAGCAGAAAACTCAGTAATGATGTATTGAAAACCACAGCAGAGAAATTTGACCTGAAAGATATACACGGCCAGGCATAGTGGCGCACACCTGAAATCGCAGCTAATCAGGAGGTTGAGGAAGATTGCACGTTTGAGGCCAAACTGGGCAACTTAATGAGCCCTTGTCTCAAAGTAAAATTTAAAAAGAGACGGAGATGCATAGACAATTGACTGTATACTGGGTGATAATACAAGTGTTAACTTACTATACAGGACTGAAATTAATGCCAAACACAGGGTCGTGTCCCATAGTGACAAAGAATGAAACCCTGGACAGAGGAGGTAGGGTACAAGCAAACTTAATTATAGATATAAAGGCAAAAAAGCAAAGACACAAAATCCAGGAAGTAAATCTCCCACTGGCTGGGAGAGGTTCCGAGTAGGATTCCCAGGAGGGGTCTTTATCTAGGGGATTTAACGGGTTTAGAAGACAGCTCAATAAATTGTGTAAGCAATATAATCTCTATCCTGTAGGTTACATATTTGTTAGGGTCCAATCTGTGCTGTGTTCACGCAGTGCCCATGCAGGACCCAGGCATGACTCAGTAGTCTGTCTGATCCCACTCTGAGCATGTCCCAGGCAGCTGCAGGACACATATTGAATGTTTGTGTAAAGTCCCCAGGGGGCCCTCCCTCAGCAGCCTCCATTTGGGGCTTCCTGACTCCATTTTGGGGCCACTGTCCATACTGCCTAATAGAACCCCGCCTCCTGTCTCACTAATCCTGTTACAAAATCATAGGGAGTATACCCTCTAACCTCAATGTAATTGTGCTATAAAGCAATAACAAAAAGATAAACAGAAAAATCTCATATATTTTGAATTAGGACATATATTTCTAAACAGCTAATAGGTCAAAGAAGACATATAGAAAATTGCCATAGTACTCTTGAAGAACAAGGTAGGAAGCCTTGTTCTCTGGTATTTTAAATTACAAAAATTAATGTTGTGTGGTATTGATGAAGAAACAGACAAAATAACCTAATTAAAAAGAATAAAAACCCCAGAACAAAGATCTAAGAGTTAGGGAAAGAATAGCCTTTTTTTAAAAAAAAATGCTGATAAACTGGGTATTTATGTGAAAAAAATTAAATCAGACCCATACCTCACTCTAAATTCATTTCCAAATCTTCTAGTAGACAAATAAGAGAATGTCTTTATGATCACAAAGTATGGAATGATTTCTTGAATATGGTACACAGAGTGTTACTCAGGGAAAGGTTTGAATTTGTTAAAGTGAAAAATTTCTGTTCATCAAAGACTCCACAAAGAGTGGAAAGAAAACCTGTTGAAAAAGAAAAAATATTCATAACATATAGACCATCAGTGAGAAAAGGACAAAAGTTGAATTCTAAAGAACTAAAACTTGGATGATTTCCAAGAGTATATTTTACATTTAATATATTTATATTCAATAAAGGTGTATATAATAAATATAAATCAGTGAATTTATAGGTAATTGATCAATAGTCCCATGAAGAGTTCTCTGCCTCACTAGTAAGCATAGAAAGGTAAATTAAACTGCAATTGTATACCATGATACATAACCCAGTAGATTAGCAAAATTTTAAAAAGTGGCAATTCCAACTGTTTAAAAAGAAGCAGAACAACTCCCACAAATCTGGTGGGAGTGTAAAGTGGTACAAACACTTTGGAAAGTTTGCTGTTTCCTATCATAGTTGAAGATAAGAGTACCTAGTAATAACACCCTGGGTACAAGCCTTTGAGGGACCCTTCACACTCAAGGAAGGATGTGTAAACATGAGTGTTGTTTTCAGCATCATAATGGTTGAAACGCTAAAACCCTCAAATTCCAATTGTGGAGAGAATAAATTGTGATAGATTCATGCAATGGAATATTTTACACACAAAATAAAAGAACTACATCTCCACACAACATGAATGAATTTTTCACAATGTGGAGTAAAAGCAAATACAAATGAATACATGAAGCACAATTATATTTATATGAAGTTCTTTAAAAAGCAGAGAAAAACAGGCACGCTGTATTCTTTAGAGAGAACTATGTAAATAAGAAAGCCACAGAAGCCAGGATAGTGCTAACATTTAGGGACAAAAAAGGGAAAAGTGATTTGGAAATGGTTGTGATGTTGGAAATATTTTTTCCTCTGACTTGCATCCTTGTGTACAGGTGTGGGGTTTTTATAATGGTTATTATGCTATACACTTTTATGCCTCTGGGTTGGGGATCGAGGAGCAATGGCAAAGAAAACTTGCCTGGTGTGCATGAGGTCCTGGGTGCAATGCCCAGTGCTACACACACACACACACACACACACACACACACACACACACAAAGGCAGTATGTGTTCCAGGAGCTCACAATTTTCTGGAGCTCAGTGTAGATAAAATTTAAAAAGTGGTATCTGAAAACAAACAAGGAGGCGTTTTTATGCCTCATGCACTTTTCTATATGTATGTTATTTCCTAGTTTAAAATGGTTTGACCAGAAAGAATGAAAGAAGAAAAACCATCTTTAACCATCTCTTAAATAAAAGCTGGTGACGATTCGGGTTAGGGTGGTGACAGTCAAAGTGGTGAAAACATTGATTCAGGATGAGCTGATGACCAGCTCTGGGCTGAAGGGAGGGCGTGGAAGGCGGCCTGTGAGTCTCGGGCAGGTGCCACCTAGCAGGCAGGGCTCCGACTCGCAGTGAAGCGGGGAGGAGGTGGGGCTCAGGAGTTAGTCACTGCTCCGGACTGCAGAGGACAGCGGGAGGAGTCACTGTCATAAAGGCATCTGGGGCTGGGGATTTGGCTCAGCGGTTTCTCCGCCTGCTGCGCAAGCGGAAGAATCTGAGTTTGATCCCTGGCACCAAAAAAAAAAAAAAAGAAATAGCATAATGATGCAATAATATTTGGGCGAGGGATTTAGCTCAGTGGTTTCGTCGCCTGCTGTGCAAGCGCAAGGACCAGAGTTCAATCCCCGGTACCAAATAAATAAATAAATAAATAAATAAATAAATAAATAAAAATAAAGGCATCTGGCTTGACTGCAGATAGGATGGGAACATTTATAGCATCTCGGACATTTTAAACCGCAAGACTGGATGTGATCACCGAGGAGAGAGCGTACAGACCGAGGCTCAGGGTTAGCGCAGAGCAAATACAGTATTTGAAGAATGGAGCAGAAAAATTGAGGGAAATGAGAAGTGATATAACAGGAGCACAGACGGGGGCCCCAAAAGCCCGAAGAGGAGAGTTTTAAGAAGGAAGGAGGATCAACCAACTGCTCTAGTCTTGAGAGGTGGAAGGAAATGGGAACAGAAAAATGTTCCATCGATGGAGCAACTCCGAGGTCACCGGGAGCTGGACTCAGGGTGGGGCAGGAGAGCAGATCGGAGCAGGAGAAGTTGAAACAACATTGAGGCAATAGACAGGGTGTGCACGGATCTCTTGAGAAATCAGATTATGAAGCGTGACTCCGAAATGAGGCAATATGGGGCAGAGTGGAGACCAGAAGCCTGGGCCAGAGGGGCTGGAGACCGCTGTGGGTGAGCGGCTGAGCAGCTCAGAGCACAAACGAGGGCCGTGAGGGCACTGGAATCCTGGGAGGCCCACAGTGCTCTTCCTAACTCTCCGGTCCCTCCAATTTCTTTTTGGTACCGGAGATCGAACTCGGGTCCTTAGCTTTCGAGGCAGGCGGTGGAACCACTGAGCTAAATCCCTGGCCCCGGTCCCTCAATTTCTAATCCCCAGAGGAGGCTTCTAGGAAGCAAGCCGTCCAAACTTGGTTTTTATTTAACAATGACAAGGAAACTCAGCTGAGCTGAAAGGAAACATATTTTCCTTTTGGAAGAGAGAAAAATGACCTCCATAAACATGAAAATACATTTATAAAAGTACATCTTGTGATTGTATAAAGTGTCTGCTGTGATATTTAACCTCCCTTCTCCTTGGTAAATTCTTCTTTAATTGTTCATGCAACTGCTTCCAGTAGACACCAGGAATTTTAAGATACATAGTAATAATAAAATAAACATTTAGAGCAACATTAATAAGTCAAAGGAGAAGTAAATATGTTACACAAAGCACTGCCTATTGACTTACTTTCTTGATTTTGTATATTTGATGGAACAACATGGAGTCTCAAATTGGACTTTTCAAAATCACTTTTTATAGGCTCAGGTTCACATTGGAGGCAGATAAACCTGGAGGAAATAAACATGGAAATAAAAATTATTCTTGATTAAAATAATTTATAAAACAAATCTATGAAAGAAGCTTGAAGAAATATAAAGTTTCAGCTCTACAGATTTGGCTGTTGTATTAATATGTGCTGCTAATAGTACTATGATATAAAGTGTAAGAGATCAAAACAGACTGAGTAGAAGCTGAAAATGTTAGTGATGTCTATTTGAAGTAGAATTGAAAGAAACTGTTGTGATGGGCTTACGGGCACAGGAGGACACTATTATTCACAAACAATATGACTCTCCCTTTCAGAAAAACATGCTGGAATGAGTTCAGTGAGAAATTGGGGTCGTTGCCAGACATGAACCAAAGTGCTAGGAAACAGAGGCAGGGGGCCAGTCAGGTCCCAGAATTGCACATCAGATAGGACCGCAGCCCTGATGCATTACGAACAGAGCTTCCCTCCTTTAAACTCTTTAGGTGTCAGCTTGATGGACTTAGGAATTACCGAGAAGCCGGTGCAGGAGTCTTTCTGATGTGTCTGCAGAGTGTTTCCAATAGAGACCAGCCTGTGTGTCAGTGGGCTGGGTGGGGGGACCCACCCCCGATGTGGGTGAGCACCGTCTCACCAGTAGGGCAGGGTACACTCTTCCTGTCCTTGGACTTCAGAACCCCAGGCTCTCTGGCCTTTGGACCTAGGACTTACACCAGCAGCCCACTGGGCCCTTGGGACTCTGGCCTTGGGTTTAGGGCTACATTATCAGCTCCTCTAGTTCTGAACCCTGATAGCAGCATCCCAAGCTCCACCCTGTCAGGGATTTCTCCGCTTCCAAAGTCACATGAATCGTGAACCAACTCCCCTATGAATTCCCTCTCCCTGCCAGTGGTTCTGCCTCTCTGGAAATCCCTGACTAATACAGCCAGCTATTGATGGTCTGTAAGACAGCTGCTGACATTATATAACTAATGATATTCTGATCTCTAACTGCTGGAGCAACCGAGACTCAGTCCTCAGACTTCACTTGCCCTTCACGGCTATCATCCAACCCCAGCCTTAAATATTATCTGCAGGCTGACTAATGTTCCTGGATTGGCAGCCAGACCCCAAGCTCTTTCCTGAGCTCCAGAAATTTACATACCTACTGCCTGCACGATCCTGGCCTTAGATGTGTTCAGGTGTCTCAAACCGAGCACATTAAAGACAGGTTCCTGTTATCATCCACTTTCCAGTCTGTTCCTCATCCAGACTTTTCCATCTTCATTCAGTCAGAGGCTTAGACTACAAAGTTTGAAGACATCTTTGATTTCTCTTTTTCTCATTTGCCATCTATCAGCAAATCTCACTGGGTCTTTTCTTTGAAATGTATCCAAATGTTACCCTTTCTTTCCTGGTTACTTTTACTCCTCCCTTTCCTCTGAACTACTTCTGCACCTCTCTAGCCTTCTTCCTGTGGTCACTTTGGTCTTTAGTATTCTATTGTCAGTGCAGCTACAGTGACACTTATGAATTGGGATTGTCATTTCTTTTCAACTACCTTTTAGCAGACTTGAATAAAATTTAAAAATCTCACTGCTAGAAAGAATCCTCCCCCTTCTCATTGGGATTTGAAGAGGAACTTTCACTGATCCCTCCCCAGACCCCTCTGCACCCCCTTCTCTCCTTATCTCTGTGGGGGCACAGTGAATTTTCTAGCTGTTTGGAAGAAGCTCAAATGCTCCATAAGGACCTCAGCACTCGCTCTTCCCCTGCCTGTAATATTCTGCCCCCAGGTGTTGACATGATTTACTCCTTTATTTCTTCAGTCTGCTCAGTTTTCTGTCTCCTTGGAAAGATCTTTTCTCCCCTACCCATCAAAAATAGTAATCTTAGTTTCCTATGTTTTTCTTTATAGAACTTTATGCTAGTGCGTTTATATTATGTACTCATTTGTGTATTTACTTTGTTTCCTGTCTCCCTGCCTTATCCTGGAATGTGAACTCCGAGGGTGGAGTGTTTGTTATTGTTGGATTCTAAGCACCTAGACCAGTGACCAGCACATAATGCATGTGCAATAATTACAATGAGGATTTTTTTCATTATTCTTAAAATGTATTCCATTTAGTCATAGTGGAGTTAATATTTATTCTACATAGTACTGGATTCTGTGTTAATCACCTTTCTGTTACTGTAACAAATACCTGAGCTAAATCAACTTGAAGGCAGAAAAGGTTTATTTTGGCTCATAATTGTGGAAATGTTGGTCCATGGCCTGCGGTGACACAGTACACCGTGGGGGAGCATGCAACGAGGGAAGGTGCTCACTTCTTGGTGGCTGGGAAGCAAAGAGAGGAAGAAAGGAAGGGCAACCTCCTTTCCCTCCCTTTGAGACCACACCCCCAAGACCTACACCCCACCTCTTAAAGGTATCACCACCTTACAGTAGCACTTTGGGCTGAGAACAAAGCCTTTGACACGTGGGCCTTTGAGGGACTCTTATCCAAACCAAGGCAGCTCTTTTTGTTAATATACTCGTCTCTTGAGTGGCACTTATCCCATCACCTTAGAATTGGCAACCAGGTGACTTTTACTTTACAGCTGTATAAAAATGAGCAATAAATATTCCATATTCTACAAAGACTCACCAATAGTTGGGGCTGGACATTCCTCTATGCATCCAAATAGCAGATAAATTATTATTCAGGGAAAAAAATAAAGTATCAGAATTGTAAACCATTAACTTACTGGGGTCTGCTGTAGCTTTTTCTTGAGTGTGAGGGGGCAGGGGTGCCTCTTCCATACAGCTCAGGGGGGATTTACAGAGAATCCCAAAGCCCAGTGCCTCCAAGATGGCTCAAAACCACACCTGAAAATTCAGGAGCAGCATGGGAGCAGGGTAACTGGCAAAAGCTGGAGGAGCTCCGAGGCACAAGCTGGGAGGCAGGCGGCCCTGAACGCCCATCCCAGGTGGTGGGTGCCTCACTCTAGGTGCCCTCTTCCCCTCCGAAGAGTAGCTCATGTTTGCAGCTCAGCATCTACAATAGCTCTGGGTCTGTTCCTAAAGGGTCCAAGAAATCCAACAGCTTCCTTAATTTTTTCCCAGTTTCTCCATCTCCTTTAGCCCCAGCCCACAGGTTTTGTTAGTACAAGTGCATATTTATTCCTGGCGCAAACCATTCTTGTTCTGTTTCAGTATCTCTTTACGTCTTCAATTCACACCATGCCCATCTCCTTATCAAGCGGTCCGCCCACCACACACTTCGAGGTCTGTTCCGAACATGCTCGCTCATATTTCATAACGAAGGCAGCCTGAAAAACTTCCAAATCTTTACATTATGGTTCCTTTCTGCCAAACAATTCCATCTTCATTCTCTCCTCTCACATTTAACTGCAAATGTCAAGAGAACCAAGTTACTCCTTCGACACTTTGCTGAAAAATCCGTTACTAAAGTATCCATCTCCCTTGCCCCCGAGTTCTATGTGTGCACATAAGTCCTTGGCCACTTCAGATGACAAGAACTTGAGTCATCTCCAGTGTCAACAAAGTGCTTCTTGTTTCCACCTGAAACCTCCGCAGAATGGCCCTTAGCATCTGCCAGTCTCCCAACACTGGATTCACAATTGCTTACATGTTCTCTGAGAAGACAGAGGTCTTCCTCGTATCTTTCCAAGCACTCAGTGGAATCGCCTTCAGCATGCAATCAACAGAGCTCCAGGAATGGGCTTAGTGCTCTTATAAGATGGCTTTCTCTCCTCTCTCTCCTCTCTTCCTTTTCCTCTTCTTCTCCTCCTCTTCCACTGCTTCTTCTTCTGCTTCTCCCTCACTCTACTCTCTCTTCCCCCCTTTCCCTCCTCCCCTCTCTCTGTCCCTGCCTCCTCCCTTCCTCTCTCCCACAAGAAGACCGAGAGCCAGGATGCCTTCCTCAGACGCGGGACCTGCCAGAGTCGATCTTGGGTGGTCCAGCACTCAGAACTACAAGAAAAAAATTTCTGTGCAGTTTGTGGCGCTGGTCACACCGGCCTGAAGTGATTAATGCAGGGTATTCAGAGGAGATTGAGGTGACCACAGGGCTGATGTCATTTTGTCAATAGGCCACCAGATTGGTGACTTCCAGGTCCTGCCCCAGCGACCACCTCTAGCCTGGCCTCCCCTCTCTCTGCTCCCCGGCTGCCATTAGGTGAGCAGGTTCCTTCCACCCAGGCCACCCTGCCAAGCTGCTCCTGCCCTGCAGCCAGATGGACAGCACTGAGACCCCCCTCCTTTAGGTTGTGGGTGTCGGGGATCTTGTCCCAGGAACGGGACTGTCACTGGTGGTGGTTTTGGTTCTCTGGACAAGGATCAAACCAAACTTGTTCTCTGAATCTCTGAAACAAGTACCATTTTGTCTCTACATTTCAGACTGACTTTGCCTCTGGCCTCAAACTTCCAGCCAGCCAATCTTGACTGTAAAGGAACATTAGTCAGCTACTGATGGGCTACAGTGTTGCTAACACAGAGTCGGGGATGCCTATAAACTATTTAGGAAATGATCATATCTGTCAGGAAAGCAGTAGCAACAGTATCATTCTGGAAAATCCCCCATAAATCATGGCTCATTTCCTTTAACATGTATCCAATGGGTCACTGTCCATATATTACATTGTTACATAATGGGATACACATATCCTCTGCATATATGTCTTACAAACACACAACTGTGTGTACGTTCCCCACCTTAGTTACTTGAAATAAATCCTGGACCAGACATGGAGGCACACACCTCTAATCGCAGCACTCTGGGAGGTTGAGGCAAGAGGATTGAAAGTTTGAACCCAGCCTGGGAAACTTACAACTTAGGAGACCTTGTCCGAAATTTTTAAAAATTTTTTTAGAAGCTTAGGGATGTTGCTCAGTGTAAAAGTCCTGGGTTCAATCCTTACTACAGGGGGGGGAAATCCTAATATTAATTTAGAACAATATAATTGAATTCATGAAAGGTCTTTCTTTAAAAATTTAGAATTGTAATCACCATCTGTATTAGTAAACTGTTATAATATGTACTGTATAAGCCAGGGATATTCAGTATACTAGCATATTTAGTATATTTTAACTTAATATAAGACAATACAAAGTTATGCTTTCAACCTTCAAAGGGAAAGTCTGAAGTCCTTATGATAGTTACTTTTTTGCTTTCTTAGTGTCACACGACTTATCTACTGTGATCCTTGGTGCTGTCTTAGCTGTGGATGCAGCCATAGCCTCTTCACACTCCAAAGGAAAGTCAAATGTCAAGGGTATAACCAAGGTCTTTCCTCTCTCCTCATTCTGAAGCCTGTTTTGCTGCAGCAAAGTGGAAAAAATAATTACTTTTCCTATAGGAAAAAGCCTGTAAGAACAAAAATTAATCTCACTTTATATATATATATATGCACATATATACACACACACACACTCTGTCTGTCTCTCTCTCTCTCACACACACACACACACACACACATACACACACACACACACACACAGAATTATTGTGCCAGGCAATAATGGAAAAATATTACAGATTGAAAGTTAGGTGTTTATGCAGGAACTTTCTTATGCCCTTGCTGTGTGACCTGAGGAATTCTTTTCCCCTCTCAGGAAGGAGATGTTGGAATAGATGATCACAGGCTCCCTACTAATTGTAAAATTCAGAATTGAACAAAACACCATTCACAGTATTTAGCAAATACATTGATACATAGAGTTACTAGAACCATGGCAGGAATCTCTCTCTCCAACCCACTCCCTTCCTCCCCACACTTGGTGAGTCACACAAACTTTTAGTTGAATGAGCCAGAAATAGAGGCAGAAAGCCAGGTGTGTTGGCACATTCATACAATCCCAGTGCTCTGGGAGGCTGAGGCAGGAGAATGACCCAGCCTGGGAAATTTAGCAACTTAGTGAGACCCTGCCTTAAAATACCAGACAAAGGCCTGGGGATGTAGCTCAGTGCAAAGGCCCTGGGTTCAGAGGCAGAGGAAGAGGAGAAGGAGGTGAGAAGAAGCAATTAGAAGAGGACTTTGTTAAAATATTTAAACAAGTGGGCTGAAGAAGAAAGAGGAATAGCTAAAATGTGAGTTAAAGAGCTGAATGCTTCTCTAAAACTTTATCTCAAGGTATAGCACAGAAGAAAAAAGAGATAAAAATTTGAAAACAAAGTCAAAGGAAATGGGAACTTCTGCTTCTGCCCAAGAAGCATTCAGTTCTACAGGAATTAACTCCTGCTGTAAACAACCAGAAAATCAAAATATATGAAAACAGCTGTCTCCAGGCACAGGAAGGAGCGGGAGCAGGCTGGAACCCTGAAGCAGGGAGACAGGAAGGGGGCCTCTGAGGACCAGCGCACCTCTGGGTGCAGCGTCTAGCTGGGGTTCAGGGATGGGGAAGCCACAGAGTTGGGAGCGCTCAAACCAAACCTGTGCCCTGGATCTTGCTGAGTGCAGGAGATGCATGGAAAAACCTGGGTGAACTTCAAGGTCCATTACACTTGGTGAAAAAGTCAGTCTCCAAATTTGACATGCTGAATGATTTTATCTGCAGAAACTTCTCAACATTACAAAATTATACAGAGGGAAAACAAACTGGCAGGGGCCACTGAGACAGACGGCAATGGGACGGGTGTGTGGGTGTGAACGCCCAGAAGTAACACGGAAGAGCTGTGGACGTGGGATGGGGTTTCACACAGTGAGACACTCACAGGCACACATACACCAAGGGACAAAGGCTAAACACTGGTGAAAATGGAATGAAACCTGAAATTCGGTTGACAGCAGTATTTCAGTGTCCATGTTCTGGTTTTAATACTGTGCTGCGTCACCAAGAGGTCACCATTGCGGGGGGAACCTGGTGGAGAGGCGCATGGGATTCCTTGCACGGTATTTGCAACTTCCTGTGAGTCTACAATTATTTTTGTTTAAAGTGTAAAACAATTCCAAAAGCAATTACCAAAGTGACTTAGGTGTTATCTCTCTTTTTCCATTAAAAAGGAAATGGATACAAATCTACCTTCCTACACTTAGGTATATTTACATTATGAATTATGTAAATTTACATGTGCGATAATGTCCCCACCCCCACCGGGGGTATATATCTTTGTAATAGCACAAAAGAATATGTGGATGGGTAAACACCTGTTAAAATTTGTTTTCCCTCACAGAGAACCGTTACAGGGAAAGGGCCAAAGACTATTAATTTTTATTTATTTAATTTTCTTTACATACAACTTTTTAACATATCTCTATGTATTGTTTAACTTATTTCCAAAAGCAAGTTTTACATTTATACTTATTAAAAAGTTTTAAAAGATGATCATGCAGCATATAATTTAAGAAAATATTTCCAGTGAGCCAAAATTCAATTGTTCATATATACCATAAGTCTGGGTTTTGAGAACTATAGTCTTTGTTAATATTTTTCTTGAACTCCAAGTCTTGACTTTTTAAATGTACTTCAATCACTCCTATAAATTTTAATTATTCCTAATTCAGTAAGCATGGTGGATATTCTCATTCTCTTAACTGAATAGCTTTGTCTTTGTTTAACACATTGGCAAGAATTGTAGAAGTAGTCACTTTTAGGACTTGACAGTACAGTTTTATTTTTATTTTAGGCAGGTTTAACACATAACATAAACAACAGTTACCTATTGGTTATTTTTCTATTTAATTATTTTTATTATTCAGTTAGATGAATGACTCTTCCAACTAAATTTTATTTGCTCTTTATAAATTACAACTTCAGATTAATACACCTTTCACCAGAAAGCAAACTCACTTGCATTTGAAATGTTAGTATTGTGATGATGAAATTGCATTTCAGTCCTTGTTTTACAGACCTTTGCTCGTCTGTCCAGGAGAATCTTCGCCCGCGTATCCAGAGCGTCTAACTTCTCCAAGACTCTCCCAGCCATCATCTGCCAGGAGATTCCTACTTCAAAGGGAAGAGGAAGAAGAAATCTCCAGGTCAAATCTCAACACATAAGTGGTTATTTCAGCATGAGAAGAGACTCATCTTTACCTTACTGTTGTAGGTACATAACAGAGCTGTACAGATCATGGAATAAATGATAAAATTATAAGCAGGCCCAAGTTTTCCCGTAGAAGCCCACATCATCAGAACCCCCACATATGTGTGGACTCTGGCAATTTTTATATTTATGATAAAGCAGAGCCAGAGAAGTTTCAAGATTCCTGCATTAGAACAGGTATGACTTAAAAATGACATCACAAAGATATCGACACTGGCATGGGTCGTGACAGCATGGCTGTAATTGGAAAATCTTTTGTTTTAAAATTCTTTTGCTATGAGGAAATTATTTCAGTGCTGACATGAATTCTGGCAAATCACCATGCCTATCACAAATTTTTAAAAGTGGGAAGAACCAATTATTTTTAGGTCTCAAAGACAGATTTATGAATACTAAATTTGATAGTGAAATTAAGAGAATGTTTTTAGTTCTGTAGTTTTTATATTTTGGAAGCAACATTTTTTTTTCTTTTAGTTTACAAACTTCCCAGGTCTTTGGCCATGCACCACTGGTGCCCAGTGGAGAAACTGCAGGGGAAGATGTGGAGGGAGGAGACACTGTAGATAACTTCCTGCCTCCAACATCCCGTCCCAAGGTTCTGAGGCTGGTTCATGCCTGCTGAAAGCAAAGGAACCTGGGACGAGGAAGATGGCAAACCAGCGACTGATCTTTGATGCAAAATGTGCCAATATCGCATTAGGTGCTGCTCAGCACTGCATTCCTTTCTCTACTGCTCCTACTCCGGACCTCTGTTTCTACAGTGCATATCATCATCTGATATAAATATTTATCGGTTCATTTGGTCTGGCCTAGAAGAATCACATCTGTAGGTTATTCGCTCTCTCCTGTATCTTTCATCTCTTTTTTTACCAATTTCTTCCCCCCAACTAGCTTCTATGTGTAAAATAGGAAAAAAAAAATATTTTCCTGGTTCTCCTTATTTTCTCTCATCTTCCCTTTACTGCCAATTTTCCCCACATTGCGGTCTACCTGTGAAGCTTCTAATTTCCCACATCCTCTTTCTTTCTCAGTCTGGGTCCCTTGGCTTCCTTTCACTCCGCTGACCCTCAAAGATGCTCAGCCCACTTCCCACAGACCAGTGAGTGCCTGTCTGCTCCTGGCTTATCTGCGTTTTTATAAGCTTTGCTATAGTTGGCCACTGCGCTCTATGGAAATTCCTGCCTCTCTCGGTTTCTATGACAACAGTCATCTCTTCCTACCTTTTCTGAAGATTGTCAGGGTCCCAAACGTGCTCTTCCTCAGCTCTCCCTAAATGCTAGCATCCCTCAGGGCTCCGCCATCTTCCTCCTCAGTCCATATGTTCTTCCAAGACAAACTCTCAAACCATAACTTCATTTTCCAGCAATAACTTCATTTTCCCAGCTCCACCCTCACTCCATCAGTAGCCAAGTACAGGCTTAAGGGTCAACTTCCTGCCCTCCTTCCTCTCCTCTAAGCAAACATCTCTTCCAGGCTTGACTGACACATGAATATCCCTCAGGCTTCTCTGCACACAGGAGCCATAATTGTTCCCAATCTTGGTTACAATGCAGGATGAACTAGAAAACCTGAAAGAATACCGACTCGCATTTGCCACCCCACATCCTCTAAGTCCAAATTTATAGAGGCAAAAACTACAAATCCCGTCATTAATGCCATTCTGATGCAGATCTTCCCCAAACCAGGATGTGGTCCTTACTTCTCCAGAAGACCACTTCCTCCCTCCCCTCACACCTGAACACGCACAATGTGTTGTTCACTTCATTTCTGTAGGCTGCATCCTAAATACACTTCCCCTCTTCTCCTCTCATCCATTTCCACTCCTACTACCTCAGTTTAAGATTCTACAACTGTCAGGATTATTGCAATAGCTTAACAATTTGCCTATGTATTTCATCCGTTTTGTCTTCCATTCTATCCTTCACATGTATGAAATATTTTTTCAAGAGAAATATAATCACATGCTTCCCCCTCCTGAAAGCTTCAACCCTCCAGCAGCTTTCAAAAGAGGTGTCCAGCTCTGTGATTTGTCTTGCAGAACTCCAAGTCTGGCCTCCAGGTCTTTAATGCACCTGCTGCTTGCTGATGTGTACTGGATACCGCAGTCCTAATGAACAGGTTGTGCTTCCTTCAGTGTGCTGTATGTTTCTTTCCTTGTTGCTTTGCTTTTCAAATTGTCTTCTATAATGGCATTCTTCCATTCCTTGTATTCCTAAATTCTATTCATCCTTCAAAACACAACACAAGTAACACCTCTGCTTGGACGCTTTCCCTGATGCGTTGTGATCTAGATGTCAAACACCCGTGCTCTTGTGACGTCTTATATATACCATCCTAGCACTTAGCCTGCTTTAAGAAATCATTTTGTATAGTTCTCCCCACAACCACATGCACACGATGAGTTTCTTGAAGGCAGAAACCATAGCTAACTTATCTTTACATCCCCGGGTACCTAACAGCCACACTAAATGAGTTCACGGTCAGCCACACAGGCAGGAAACAGACAATGGTGAACCCTATGAGTGCTTTCAGTCCACATTTCCCTGTGGCTTTTAGTTTACTGCCTCAGTGTGCACAAATCCTTCGCAAAGTCCTACTGAAGTTCTCCTAGACCAACCCATGCCACTAAAAAAAGGAAGAAGAGGAGGAGGAATTTCACTGAAGGGAAGTGAGTGTAAAAGGAGAGGCTGCTGTACTAAATGCAATTCAGAGAGCCTTGCTTTCTTCCCCTTCAGACTTGGAAGGGCTGCACAGCGTCGACTACGGGTCAGGCTGCCTGGGTTTGGGTCCTTAGTTTGGCCACATAACAGCTGTGGGACTGTGACAAGTACCTTTCTGTGTTGCCCATCAGTAAAATGGATATAATATAACTTCATGGGATTGTTATGAGGTTTAATGGTGCAGATATAAAGGCATATAAGTGTTTGATCAATACAATACATCTAAATACCAATGCACTTTCTGGTGAGAGGCAAGGTGTGCGGGATTTCTGTCCTATAACTGCTGCAAAATGCTTGCTCTCCAGCTGCATGCTGTTTCCACCTTGCCATCAGCAGCGGTCTCCGTATGTCTGACCACTTACTTGCTTCCGACACAGTTTATTTCTTCCATTATCCCTATACTAAATTGCTTTGGCCTTAGGAAACATAAGAATTTATTCAGCAATTTAGTATCTTCTCTTATAATCCAGCGATTCAGTATCTTCTATACCATGTCCTCTTTTATCCTGTTTTCTTCCCCTGTTTTCCTTGGCCATATTCTGGATTTTCTATCAAATTCTTATTCAGTGAGCCAAAACTAAACCTCTTTGTCCAACAAAGCCCAAGAGTAAGCCTTGAATCAACGAAAACTATTAGAGAAAGCTACCCTAATAAACATTACTGTGTGTCCATAGGTAAACAATGGAATTAGGTTTGTGTTCAGTAGGTCTTATCCCCCTCCCACACCAGTGTGGGGTAGGAGAGGTGACCTCACTTTCTCAGTATGGCAGAGGAGTTTGCATATGTGCTTAAAGCTGGGGGGGCAGGGTTCTTGTGTGGTCGCAGAAGGCCACTTCGTAGGGTCTCAGGGATGGAACACATCTCACACGATCCATGCACAGTGAGCATGCGCTGGCCCGGAAATGAGGCCTTCCCAGCTCCTAGTGCCACTGTCACCCTTCACACCTCCCCTGGGTCCCTGTACCCCCAATATGCCTGCCACTGGCTTTCCTCCTCATCCCTCAAATGCTGCTCCTTCACAGTGCCATCAGAGCTGTCTGTCTTAGACAGGACGCTGGTCAGATCCAGTTGTAAACTGTGAGCCTTGGTCTGCTCCTTGGTATCTGCAGAAGGACCCTCAACTCCTCAGAGGTATAGACCAGGGACCCCCAACTCCTCAGAGGTATAGACCAGGGAACCCCCAACTCCTCAGAGGTATAGACCAGGGACCCCCAAACTCCTCAGAGGTATAGACCAGGGAACCCCCAATTCCTCAGAGGTATGAGGCCGCTCAAGAAAGGACAGCCCAGGGGCGGCTCAAGCCCCCTCTCCAGCTCACCCTCCACTGTGTTCCTCTGTCTCCCCACACACGGTTCCACCCCCTTGACCTGGACTCAGCCCGCCCCTGCCCGCCAGGTCCTGCTGCCTCGCTTTCCTTCCACTCGGATGCTCTCTCTGCCTGTCTGCCGGTGGAAAGCCTATTCCACTGCTCCCTGCCGTAAAGGTCCTGCTTGTATGAAACCCCTCGGCGTCGCCCCACCCCTTGCCTGGGTGACGGTCTCTCCAAGAGCTCCTTTTGCACTTTGTCCTTGATTCCCGCACTCAGCTCGCATTGCTTTGTGCTGAAGAGATCCTGTCAGACATCTCTCCCTCACTGGAGGGAGGTGCATTAAAGACAGAATCAAGGCAGCCACCGCCGCACCTCAACCCAGGCAAAGCCTTCCCCATCTGAGTCTGAAGATCGGAGTGGGGTCGGGAGAGGTCTCTGAATATAACGTTTTAGGCTAAGCATTCCTTTTATCTGTAGTGAGTGATGCAGTTCATGATGATTTCCTGCAGGACGAAAGAGGAAGTGGAATGAATTATAAAATGTGACTGTTGCCAAATCTAAACCAGTAAGATCATTTTGAAAGGAAACTGATATGTTCTTAAATACTAGGTCAGTAATGACAGTTTTTGCGGGGGTGGAATACAATGAACCAGAGAACTTTCCAGTTGGGGTGCAGTGAATTCCCTACTGCTCTTCACGGTGCGCCAGGCTGGGCCTCATTCCTGTCAGAGATTGCAGAGCCAACGTGGAGGCAAGTCAGAGGCTAAGTCTGAACTTATATCGCGCAGAGCTTGAGAGCAGCTAATTTTACAGGCGCTATTTCATTTTAAAGGTTTGTGCCAGTGAGACTAAAAGCAAAAAGAAAACTAAATGCTGTCAATTCCACAGGCTCCCTGACTAGGCTTCTTTAGCAAGTTTTACTAAGAAAAATGCAGGCAAACCAGGACAGCAACCCACAAACTAAGCAATAATCCAGAGAGTGAAGGTTTAACTTGAAATTTACTTCTGTGACGTGGTTTCATCAGTTCAGATGTTTTTCCCTTACACTTTTATCTGACGCTGTTTGCTAAAGGCTATACGGAGCGCGCAGTGGCTCTCAGCCCACTGCCATGATTAATTTTCACTCCATAATGAGATGCCTGGCTGGATTCCTCTGCTTCACATCACAAGTGCAGACCCAGGGAATCTTTTTTCTTTTAAATCTGAAATGTCCATAAGTGGCCCCCGCTATAGGTTGAATTGTGTGCCCTCACTCCCATATGGAAGCCCTGAGCTTTGGTCACTGAGAATGGGTTTACTTGGAGATAGGAGGTCACTTTCACGGGGGGCTGTTAGGGGACCCCAGTCCGTATGATGCGCCCTGTAGGACCAGGAGGTTGGGACACAGGTGACAGCGGGCAGAGGGGAGACGGTGCAGGGGGAGGGCAGCTCCCCACCTGCAGGCCGAGGAGCGATCTCCAACCACCAGCCTCCAGAACTGAAAATACTCTTCTGTCCTTTACCGTCTCCATCTTTGGTATTTTGTTAGGACAGCCCTCGAAAACGAATGAAGCCCACAAACAGGGAGCTCTAACCCCGAAGCCATCGCTAAAAGGGTCGACTATCGACTTGGCCCTGTGAGCGGATCCACGCCGGGTATTTTTCCCTCCCGTTTTTGTTCTAAAGAGAATATGGAAGAAAGTTTATCCTTCACTTTTAAGCTTCGCTAAAGTTTGCCAGGCACCAACTTGGGGTTGGAAGGGAGGTTTGTAAGGAAAAACACCAAAGAATTTCTGAAGTACGGCGCCAGCGCTGCGGTCAGACCCCGGCAGGGCAGCAGAGGCCCGGGGATCGCACCGTGAGAGGCACAAGGACGACTCTGCCCACGCAGGCCTGCACCCTCCTGCCTCGGCTTCTCCAGGCTCCACAGGGAGCCCAGGCCCCACATGGGTGCCCGGGGCCGTAATAGGAGGTGAAGCTTGCTTCTGCTAAGTGCAGGAGCAGGAAGGGTTTGGGGACCCTGGGCCCACTGCGCATGTGCATCACCTGGGGCCCGCACCCCAGCCCGGCCAAGCGCTCCCCGCATCACCCCGGCCTGCACCCAGGCCCAGCTCCAGACTGATTCCGCTTCCCAAGGCTGCATCTGCCCGGTGGAGACGGCTAGGCCTTCCCTTCCCTCCTCTAAGCAAGGCGTCCTGTATCCATGGAAACAGTTTCTGGACTCAGGCGGATTAGGCTGAAGGCTTGGAGGGAAAGAGGAAGAGCAGACCGAGGACGGGCAGTGGGGCAGTGACTTTGCTTCCTTGAATCCCTCTTCCTTTTGTGCTTTCCTTTGCAACACACACACACACACACACACACACTATTTTCTTTTTGCTAGAAACTGCTGGTGGTAGTCTATACATGAAAACATTGGGATCAATTTATTCCACATACTTAATGTATAAGAAATACAGTAATATATATATATGGTGGCTTGATGTTTGATTTTATAGTTTAAAAATCTGCAGACAGCCAAGATCAATATTTACATGGAATTGTTACTACTGGAATGTAGTAGAGAGTGGTGATTTGTCTAAGACTGTGATAATGCCTTCAGTTTATAAATCTGCACAGAGGGCCGGGGATGTCGCTCAGCAGTGCTGCGCCTCCCTGGCAAGTACGAGGTCCTGAGTTTGATTCCCAGTACTGGAAAAAAAAACTGCACAGATGAAATTGGCTTCTTAGATAAAGGAAAGCTGAGGTAAGAAATGTTACCCACTCATCAGTCTGACCAGTAACATTTATGAATACAGTGCGATTCGTCTGAGGGTCTTAGAATCCCGTCACTGCCTTTCTATTACCTGTGGGGTGTGCATTGTGCCGCATAATTGGAGATGAATTTCAGTAACATGCCTCATGCAGCCTGTATCTTGACCTGGATTCTTAATTAGCATCCACAAAAAAGGTATTATTTTAATTTTAGAAAAAATCAGACTCCAACACAGAGAAATTGCATGATTCACCTGTGATCATACAATTAGCATAATGTAACATAGAGCATTTTCTCTTTAAAACAATTCGATAAAATTAAATGAACTGGTTTTTAATGACTTTACTTGCTCTCCATTAAATTCAGTGGGTTTTTTACTGAATGATTTCGATAAAGCCGAGCAAGAGAGGCCTAATGAGTGCTTACTGAGAGCACTCTCAGACCCCTACAATACAGATTCCGTCTGAAAGCAGAGGACCCCCTTCCCTGACGAATGAAAGTCACCGCGGAGTTCATTAAGACCCTGCCTTCTGGGGCTCTCCACACCCCAGTGGGAGGATCCTCCGGCTCCACGGTTGGTTCACCAAGAGGCACAGAGCACATGAAAAGCAGTGGAGCGCAGAAGCCTGGCTCGCCCCAGGGGAAGGAGCAGAGCTGGGACTCCCAGGACAGTGGCGGGAAGCCCACAGGTGGAGCAGGGAAAGCGCTGCCAGGGCTGCAGTGTGACAGGCCAGGCCTTGGGCTGCTGGCCAGGGCAGGGGGCCTGTGAGTCACAGAGTTGGTCTTTGTGGAGCAGCTGCCCCTCCCGGGGACTCTGTGTGTGTGGCCACTCCCCTAGGTCACTCTGACTGGGTGTGACCAAAGCCGCAGGCCAGCACAGAGCCTCCTGTCAGACAGCACAGTGGCAGGCCTGGAGCAGACTTCCCAGATTCCAGGTGAAGCCAGACTTTCTCTTCAGGCAACAGGCTCTCCTGTAAATTCTCCCTTCTTCTGCAAAGTCAAGGGTTTTCGGTTGAGGGACTTCATCTGGGAGGTGATCCTGGGGCATGTGATGAAGAAAGGAAGCAAAGAAAGAAGAAAAACTTCACACAGATGAGTGGGCTGCTGAGAGAGCAGATGCAGATGCTGCAGGACCGGCCCTGCCGTGGCCAGGGCACTGGGCATTTACCACCCAGGCCACACAGGGAGGGACTCGAGGCTGCTCCGGGCCATCGCGGCCTGGGAACTTGCAGCCTGCCTTCCAAGGACACCAGAGGAAGTCCTCAGGTAGGGGCTTCCGGGAAGATGGCACTGTGCGGAGGGCATGCCCTGCGAGAGATGTCCCCATGAGCAGAAGGGAGGTAGGTACAGGCGCCCACAGGGGCCAATAATGTGTGTGTGTGTGTGTGTGTGTGTGTGTGTGTGTGTGTGTGTGACATGGACAGAGAGACAGAGGGGCTTAAGTGGAATAAAATGCAATTTCAGAGAATACATAAGTTCAAGAAGAATAAAATGCAGAAAAACTATGATGTTCTCTTTGGATGTCTCTTACTTTACAGACCCTCCTACCACTTGGTGGCAGTATACCGAAGTTTTGGTGGTTGAAATTTTAAAATTTAAGAATAAAAATAATAATGACTTGAAATGACATCAAACTTCTCATAATAACACCCGCGAAACAGCTTGTCCTAATGTGCCCCTTTCCAGTTGGAAGTTAAGCTTCCAAAACTATATCATAGGTTTTCAGAAATATTCTTTTTGGGGGCTGGGGAGTGCACTTTAGTGGTAGAGAGCTCGTCTAGCATGTGGGAGGTCCTGAGAGCTCTCTCTCTCTCTCTCTCTCTGCATATTTTCTCTCTCTATATATATATGCATATTTTCTCTAATACAAATATTTCACTCTTGCCTATCTTTACACCTATTATATATTCATAAAATTACTTCTGCAGAGCAGTGAAATGATTGAATTAACACACAAACTACTTCCTTATTTTGTATGTCTCTTGATTTGCACCTTTTACACTGGCCTTATAGGAACAGGAAGAGCTTTCTTGTGGTAAGGGAAATGTTGTTCTCCTCACTCAAATGCTGGCAAAAATGATTGTAAGTCTGTCAGTGCAGCTTCTAGCTATACCTATTCTTCTGTATTCACTTGTGTGAGACTCATATTTCTTCTTTAACTATTTATAGTCATTTATTTTAAGCCTCATGACCTAATTTAACTAAAAGTTAATGTAGAGACTCTTATTAACTTTGAGGTAAATGCAAAATTAAATATAGATGAGGGCCGGGGATTTATTTATTTATTTATTTTTGGTACCAGGGATCGAACTCGGGTCCTTGCGCTTGTGAGACAGGCAGTGGAACCACTGAGTTAGCACATCAAAAATCTGGCTTGGTTGGGCAGGGGATTTAGCTCAGTGGTTCTGCTGCCTGCCTCGCAAGCGCAAGGACCAGAGTTCAATCCCCAGTACCAAAAAATATATATATATATATGTATATAGAGAGAGAGAGAGAGAGAGAGAGAGAGAGATGAGTTGTTACTCATTATAAAATGATTAATACTCTCTCAATCCCCCCCCCGCGCAGCTCTTTTTGACCTCTTCCTACTGATTTGGTTAGACCTGTGTGGGCTTTTCTTTCTGCTCTCATGTTTAAATGTTGGGGTCCTCCAGGGTTCTGTCTTGCCGATGACTCTGGATGCCCCAGCCCTGTCTCTCTCGGGAGCTCTGGTCCCTTTCTGTGGCCTCCACTGACCGTCTGCCCCATTCAACATGTGTCCATGTTCACTTCCGCTCCTTCCTAAACTCCGATCCCGCAACTTCCCCTTCCTCTGTTCGTCCAGCCATTGAGAACAAGGTCCTGGAATCATCTTAAAATACTGAGTGCCTACCGTGTCCAGACACAAAGTATTTTACTCACAAGAGCCTACTTAGCTCTCCTAAGAAGACAATGAGTAGGGACGACTCAGAACTCCAGATCTAGGAAGTACAGGACCCAAGCGTCAAACCCAGGCGGTCTGTCTCGCAGTCATGCTGCTAACCCACTGTTATACTAGCACCAGATGGCCACATGGTTCGTAACATTTTCATCTCGCTGGCAGCTAGGTTGGGGCCACGTGTGTAGGCCTGGATAATGAAAAGGAAATCGAGGAATAAATATCACTTCCACATCTAGCCCATTGAGAGATGCTCTTATCACAATTCCCCCTCCCTCAGTTGGCTGTGAGGGTAGAAACATAGCTTCCCTTACTCTCATAAGTTCATTCCTGGGACAGAGCCCGGTAGCAAAAGTCAGACTAGGCAGAGAAGAACACACAAGTCCATTAAGGCGTGCAGGGCCTGCCGCACAGGAGAAACTCGAACCCAGGGCTGGTGCTCTCCCTTACACAGTGTCTTCACTGAAGAATAATACATTTTCACACACGCATGATAAGACAAAAAGTGCTGTTTCAGCCGTCAGAGGAGACACCGTGGGCAGAGAACTGATGGGGTGAACAAGCAGAGCAAAGCTTGCTTGGAGGCTCCTCTGGGGCCATTGCTAGGCAGGTGGGAGCTGTCGCCAGGGATAATGTCGGTCCTTCCCGTAAAGACAGGAGGGGACACCTTTGCACACTTGTATTCTTTTAGAAAAACAGAAACAAAGCCAAGAGCTTTTCTGCTCAAAAAACGTTTATGTCAAACAGGCATCTTTGAGGGTGACATATTCTGGTTTCCTACAGTGGCCATGAATTTGCGCCATAGCTACAAACATGGAGGAGCCTGCACTGTATTAGTAAGAACAAAAGCTTTGTGTAAAGTCGAGAGAGTTCAGGGTTTGTTGTGACCACAGTGTGGCCGAGCTTACCCTAACACAAGCACTGTGCCAAAATCCCTCCTTCCCCAGGGTCCACATCCAGTCAGGCCCCAGATCTCCTCATTCCGCCTTCATTCCTGACTCCTTTCTGTCCCTGTCATTTTCACGGTGTCTTAGTCTAAGCACTCACCCTTGCTAGGTGGAACCACCTCCAAAGCTTCTGCATAATAGGTGAACTCCCTGGCCTTCCCTTCACTGTCTCCGACCCTCAACCGCAGTCCAGCTAGCGTGACCTGTTGCACCCAGTGAGAAAGAACCAACCAGAGACCGATATTAAATCCACACAGGAGTTTATTACCGAGCATCGGACTCGAGCCCCGACTGGGGGTAGACAAACATGTTTTATACACCTTTGAGGCCAGCAGTTTCTAGGCCCCCCTATGGGATAGAACTAGCAAAGCAAGCAAAAGGTACAGAAGTGGAACGTCCTGCCGTTAGAACATTTGTAAAACAATAGTTGATTAATTGTTGTTTCTAAGAGACTCTCTAAGGGGAGGAGGTTTCTAAGCTTCCTCCTTCTGAGTTCATCTAAAGGGCAGGCAGGTGGGTCAAGCAGCAATATGGAGTCTGTCTTGCTAACTAGGGTCCTTTAGGCCCATCTAAAATAATATCACGTCAGTGTCCCATTCAGACTTAGAAGTTTAAGTGACTTCTTGTGCCCCCCGAGATCATGTCCAACCTCCCCAACGCAGGCCACAAAATCCCTGACAAGCCTGGCAACACCTACCACAGTGCACTTTCCCCAGCCCCGCCTCTGTCCCGTTTGGACCCTCAGTGTGCCTTCCTCTGCCACTCTTTCTTGCCCTGCATGAAATGTGACTGAAATACACAGTGAATATTTAAATTTTAAAAATTATTACTGTTAAAGACGCATTACCATGAACCGCCCACAGAATCCTCCCCGCTTCCTCTAACATACTTATCCCATTGTTCTTGCCACTTTCTGACGCAGTTCGGTAATCCTCTTTCCTGAGGCTCTTTCCTCAGTTACTGCCACTGCCAAGCACCATCCAACAGAAGAGCAGGCTCATACAATCGTGACGCTGTGTCCTTGCCCACCTTATTCCCTGGGTCTGACACCAGGTGACTTGTGGCTCTACCCTGAAGTCAAAATGGCCGTGAAAGGGAAATGTTTGGAATGGATTCAGGACACTGATCCAGCCACAACAACGCAACTGAAGACATTCAGGAACGAGGACTCCAGAGCTGCTGCAGAAAGTGACAAGGATGGTGGGATGAGTGTGTTTGATGCGAGGGAAGGACTTTGAGGAGGATTCATGGAGATGCGTCTTTTACTATAATACATTTTAAAACTTTAAACATTCACTGTAAGTTTTGATTGTCCCTCCTGTGCCTGTGAATATACACATTACTTGTTGCCTTTTAGGAAAGAAACCTCTGACACCCATTCCATGTCCTCTTTTCTGTACCGTATCCCATGCCCAGGTCTTTTCTAGGCCCAATGCCACTGCTTAGTAGCCTTGTGTCCTTATGCTGGGCTCCCTTCAGGGGATGTGTCCTATTCATTTCAGTACCTTCACTACCATCCTGGTGTCTGGCACACCTTAGATCAACATTTGTTTAATGCATTAGTGAATGCGTGAGTAAATGGATACTATTTTTAGCTTTAATATGTTTCCGGGGCAGGCCAGCAGGAGAACAGAGTCATTACCATACCCAGAAGGCTGCACCCTTGGGCTGTGGCCACCAATTTTCGAAGATGGCTCCTGATGGACCAGGCCTCCCGACAGTCACAGCTTTGTGTCAACTGCTCCCACATCGTGTGCAGTCTCGGGTCCCCAGAAGCTGTTGCCATGAGTGCCACCAACTCTTAGACTTCAGGGTCCACAGAAACCCTGGAGAAATAGACCTTGGCACTGACTTGAATTTACTGTACCTCTTCCTCCCTAGGGCCCAGGTGATGAGAGAGACTGCTCCACCCAAAATCCTCACTCTGCCTTCCTCGCAGCTCCTTGTCTGGAAGGCACACTCCGTGTGGTGACATTCCCTCAGGGGAGGCTCCGAGATCCTCCTGTAAATGGATTCTAGGTCAACCCCACTAGGCCTTCAGATGTGTTAGGAAGAGGTGGCCTCTGAGTCTGCCTCAGCGCTAGTACGTCCACATCTAGTGCCACCCATCACCTGTGTCAGCTCAGGATACCGTCCCGTGTCCCACCTCCACCTGCTAACAGCTACCACTGTCCTGGGGAAATTGTCCTCCCCTTCCTTCCAAGCGTTGGTGCTGGGAGAGTTAACTACAGCACAGCGCCCCACCCTGGTCCACAGGGAGGGATCGTGGCCTTGCCTGGCAGTCAGGTGCCTCATCTCCCCAGGGAAAGGGACTGAGCCAGGCCGAGTCCTCTACAGCAGTGCAGGAAGCTATTCTCTGCTGGTGGTGTGGACCGGGAAGGCTGCGATCCTGGGTTTCCTGGGAGACAGTGAAGCCGGAAGAGCTGGGCCGGTGAAAGAGGGTGGAGGGTCCCCAGCAGGCCACGCTGGAAGACTCTCTCCCCGAGACACCTGCTGTTTGTGCTGCCCACGGAAATCCCATCAGTCCCACAGCAGCCCTATTCTTCTTCCAGGAATTCTCACTTTTTACTTAGCTGGTTTGAATTGGACTTGTATCAATTACAGTCAAAAAAAAATTTGACTATTGTAAATATAAGCACACCAAAATGATAAAAAAAATTTTTCTTATTTTTATCTTTAAGTCGCTAATATTCATAATGAGAAAATGACAAAATATGAAGAGCTGAAGTTGCAGGATATTTAAAGTTATCTAATAAAAAAATCACTGTGCTATATATAACTTGTGGTCACTGTGACCTAGTGACATTATGAAATTGTTCAAGAAAAGGAAATAAGAATTTCAGAGGTTTTTAAAGAATTTATGAGAAATACATGCTTCGTTGTGATAAAATGATGATTTTCAGCTTTGCTGTTTTCTCTTGCAACTATGATTTGAAATTTTGAATTTAAAAGAATGAATATCTCTATAATTTTTCCCAGCAACAAAAGAAAAGATACATGATACAATACAAAGTAGTGAAATCCTTTGAAAATTCTTTACTGCTGAATAATAACAACATTCTTGTGCTCTGGATTTAATGATGCTTTCTGTTATTTTGTATAGTGAAATGTGAACAAAAGTTTAACTCTAACATTCTGAACATTCTTTTGCCCAACAACTGATTAGTATTAATTTTAGGAGACAATCTCAGCAAGACATAAGCTTTGCATAAACAAGGCCATAAACAAGGATGGCGTAGGAAATGTGTAAAATATAAAGACATCTGAAGAAGACAAATTAAATTCATCCTCCAAGGTTAACCTTGTCAAGTAAGGAAGCAGTCGCCTGACAACCTAGTCTATACTCTGAATTGCCTTTTCACCTGTTTATATATGAGCATTTTTATTTCAATAAGGTGAAGAAAATGAAGCTCAGGATAAGTGTTTGAAGTGCAGGGGGTATTTTGAGGTAGGATCAATGGCAGTGTGTCTTTCGTTATAATACAGTTTAACAAACATTTTATACAGCCACTGTATTTTATAATCACACCTCATAGTCCTTATGCTATAGACAGTGTTGTTTTTGAGGTCTATTTAATGCAATATCTTTTACACATTTGTGCTCTTTACTGGTGATTTTATGTTCAGAATGGTCCTAAGATCAGCCCGGGCGGTTATCTAGTGTCTGTGGGTCCAAGAAGGCTGCTATGAACCTTACAGAGGAAATACGTGTGTGAGGTGTGCTCCACCCAGGCATGGACAGTTCTCCTGCTGTTCAGTGTTAATGTATCAGTAATGTGCATCATACAAAGCTGTCTTTAAAGAAAAACTCAGGAAGCAAGGTTGTATATTCATTGGTTGATGAAAATGTGAGCAGAGGCTGAAAACAAAACATTTTAAAAATAATTAATGAATTGGACTTAAATTAAAAAATAAAACTTTTATTCTCAAAAGACATAGTTAAGCAAAACCCTAGCTACAGAAGAGAATATTTGTACAACATACATCTGACAAAGGACTGGTTTCCAAAATGTATAAGAACCCTCAAAAATTAATTACAAGTTAACCCAATAAAAACAGTCATGTATTTGAACAGTTGACCAAACTGAGTCCTGCATAGCAAACAAACACATGAAGAGAGGCCTAGAATCAGCACCAGCCCCCATTTAAAGACAAACCCTGATCTACACTGAAGTTCCCATTAGTCTCGTGTCCCCTGTCCATGTTCCTGGAAGATTCACAATGTCCTCGCCTTGATTTTCTTTTCTAACTTCCTCAGTCTCCTTTCTACCTCCATTTCTTATTTCAAACTGTTCTCAGGGAAGACTCACTATTGTCAAATCAGTGCCTCACAATATCTATAACACATTTTGGACTCATGTACACTTTCAGCTTCTCAAACCAGAGAAACAATACGTATTGTGAAATAGGAAGAAAATGTTCAAATGGGCAGGGGAACAAGGGGGGCGGATTGAAAGGAAAGAAGGGAAAGGAAAAAAATGAGAAAAGAAGGAAAAAATGGAAACAACGCTTTTGTAAATAAGGAGAGGAAGAGGAGTTGAAGAGAGGGAAGGGGATTGGGAAAAAATAAGAATCAAGCTAAATCATGTACAGGTACAAATTCCCTATGATGAATTCCCTATGAATATATAGCAAGAATATATGTATCATATATATGATTTCTTTTCATTACCCTGGTTTTAAAAATCCAGTGCTTCTTTTTATTTCTTGTTGAGACAGAATAGGGAGGCTGTGATTCCCCCACAAAAGTTTCATATTCTCCAGGCCAGGAGTGCATGGCAGGGGTGCATGGCAGGTGAGCAGCCAGCAGGTAAAGCTTCATCCATGTTTACAGCTGCTCCCACAGCTCCCATCTCTGCCTGCATGCTGCGTCCTGTCAGGTCAGGGCCAGGACTAGGGGGTTTTTTGTTGGGGTTTTTTTGGTACCGGGGATCGAACTCAGGTCCTTGTGTATGCGCAGCAGAGGCCAAAACCACTGAGCCAAATCCCCAGCTCTAGCACTTGGTTTTCATAGGAGCAGGAACCCTATTGTGAACTTCTGAGTTGCACACTATCCCCTCCCCACTGTGCAGAAACATTGTCTTCCATGAAACAGGTTCCCAGTACCAAAAAGGCTGGGACTGTGGCTACTAGATAGCTATGTCACAACCTCCAACCCACCCTCCCAGTCTGTTAATACTTTCCTTGAAACCATGAATGCCCAGAATGGCCAGCTGGGGCACACCATAGCCTTCCCAGGGAAGCAGTGGTGAGCACTACCTCTTGTGAGCTGAATGCAGCTGAACTCAAGGCATGAGCAGGTCACCATGCCAGGTGCAAACCATGCCAGGAGCAGGAAACAGATAAGAGGTAAGAGGAAATCCTGGGGTGTGTGTAAGAGGCAATTGTGCACCTGCTTATAAACACAGTATATGACATAAAACAGTGTGTAACTCCTTTCAGAGAGCCCATGTGGGAACACTTACCTGTCTAGGTACTGTCTCCCCTGTGCTCAAGCATAAGCCCTGATACAAGCGTCCTTTGGTTGCTACCGACCCTTTGTGATTTCTATCTCTAATTAACCAAAAAGGCCCTGAGCTCATGGACAGTGGCGCCATACTTAATCTCCAACCATTTGATGCTGCCCACACACCCTTCTTGGATCTCTTTCTCATATTCTTTAAGTCAACACTTTCTGGTTCCACTCACTAGCCTCTTTCTCCTGTCAGGCTGTAGAGTCTAACTTTTCTTGTTCTAACCTCAGTTTTAATACTACTGATGCTGAAGTCCTCCCAATTTAGATCTTCAGCTCAAACTTCTCTCCCAAGTTTACCAGTGTCTACAGAGATCTGTAAGACAGTTTTCTCTGGACAGACTGTAAACCTTGCAGAAAACCAAACTCATCCTCCTCCTTCTGTGTGTGCCATCCTCATCTCTCTGGTCAGCACAAATCGCCACCAGAGCCATTCTTTGTGCTCCCAGATGCTGAGTCCCCCGTGGGGGGTCCACTGACTGATCCCCAGCCCCCATCCGCTCACTGACTGCCACGGTCTGTCCATTTGCTTTCCACGTAGCTCTGTTTGGTTTCCTACTCTCAGTCCTCAGACTCGATTTTCAGTAGTGGACATCTTCATCTTTATTCAATTCTCCATTCACTAACCTGAATTATCTTTCTAAATCGCCATCTGATTATGTTATCTCTCTGCTTGGCAATCTTTGCTGTTTTTTTTTTTGCTTTCAAGATAAAGGTTCGATCATTTTGCAGAAATACACAGCCAATTTCACTTTATAAAAACACTGACCCAATTTTCCAGTTGAAATCCTGTTCTTCTCTCCTTGGAAAAACAGCTTGCCCATCTTCAAACATCTGCATCTCTTGCACTTTCTGCTCTCTGTAGGTGAAATGTTTCCCATCCCTTCTCCTTCCCAGCTTGGAAAATTATAACTGAGCACGAGATCCCCACTGGGCATCAGTCTGTGTGGTCTGCAGGGTCACCCTAATCGCACAACTGGCTCCGTGACTCTCAACCTAATCAACTGCAGACTTTAGAGGCATCAACACCCAATCTCTGCCCACAGAAGTTGTGATTTAATTGTTTAGAGTCTGGGTATCGAAATGTTTTAAATATTTCCTAGAGTGTGTGAAAAGATGTGCATGTGAAATCGGTGGAAGTAGGAAGGCAAGGTACAACAGGAGAAGATTCCAATGTCTACTGTATCAGTCAGCTTTCTCACCACTTAAGGGAGGAGAGGGTTGATTTGGGCTCAGGGTTTCAGACAGTTCAGTCCAAGATCAGCTGGCTTCAAGTTAAGAATATCTCGGCAGGAGGGTGTGGTGGTGGAAACCTGCTCACTTCATGGTGGCCAGGGGGAGAGCCTGACAGGAAGGGGTCACGAACCATGTAAGTCACACCAAAGGTCACACCTCCATGACACACCCAGACTAATTGGAATTGTGCTTTACTAATCCTGCAGGTGTTTCTCAACCCAATCAAGTTAACAATGAAGATTACCCATCATTCCTACTTATAAATCAACCAAATATTTAGTAAGTATTTATTTTCCTATGAAACCTTGTTAAATTAAAAGGATAAAGAAGGAAGGGACAACTGACCAACAGGTATATGAAAGGGGACTCTGTATCACTTAATCATCAGAGAATACAAGTCAAAATCACCATGAGATATCCTCTCACACCTCTTCAGGTGGCTAGTGTCAGAAAGACAAAAGGCAACAAATGTTACCAGCGAGTGTTGGCAAAAGTGCACAGTAAAGGGAGTCCTCATACAATGTTGGCAGGAATGCAAATTGACACTGCCATAACCACAATAGAAAGAAGTATGGAAGTTTCTTTAAAAATTACAAATAGTCGAGGGCCAGGATGTAGCCCAGGAGCAACGTACCTGCCTGGCAAGCACAGGGTCCTGAGTTCAGTCTGCACTCCGGTGTTCACTGCAGCATTCTTCACAATAGCCAAGATGTGGCCCCTTGATGAATGAATGAAGAAACTGGGATCTATCTGTCTGTATCTTTATCTCAATATATGTATATTCCTTGTCTCTGAGATATATACATAGACACACACACCATATATATAACTATAGAACCATATATACTATATATAACATACAGATATATATATAATTTGCCTTTCAAAAAAGGAAATCCTGCCAATCCCACCGCTGCACATGGATGAACCCAAGAGCACTGTAAGTGCAGTAAGACAGACAAAGACAAAGAATGCAGGATCCCACATGTGGAATGTGCAAAGCTGAATTCGTAGAAACAGAGTGGAATGGTGGTTACTAGGGAGATGTGGTCAAAGGGGACAGAGCCTCAGTCCCGGGATGAGCAAGTTCAGGGCGTCTGACATGTAGTTCAGTGACAGTACTATAGCATGCAGTTATGCCCTCAAATGTGCTTGTGTGCTCCCACTGCCGAACAAAACCAAAGCAAACAAAACATGAACTATGTGAGGTGACTTATGTGTTACCTGTTTGATTTGTGGTATCATCATTTCACAAAATGTGTGACACAAATCATACTGTACCCGATAAAAATACAGAAACCTACCTGTCAATTTTATTGCAAAGCTGAAAAAGTTTAATAAAGAAACAGATTTATAATCAGTATCAATGTTGGTTGCTACTTAAAACCATGTATCATATTTTTGGGTGCCAAAGATTTGGACAAACTAAATATGCATATGTGTGCTACCTCTTGGATGAGAAAAATTGTTTTTTGACACAAGGTGTTGGCTAGGCAGTTCAGGCTGGCCTTGAACTTGCAGTGATCCTCCTGCCTCAGCCTCCCAAGTGCTGGAATAACAGGCATGTGCCACCATACTCAGCGATTGATGTATTTACTTACTGTATTTATTTTTATAGTACTAAAAAGTGAGCCCAGATTTCACTGAGCTACATTCCTAGCCTTTATTAAATTTTTATTTTGAGACAGGGCCTCACTTAGTTCCTTGGGTTGAGCTCAAATTTATGATCCTCCTGCCCCAGCCTTTCCAGCGTGCTAGGATTTCAGGCAGTCACCACCACGTGTGGCTGAGAGAATTGTAAAGTAAGTTGAGAGAGAGAGAGAGAGAGAGAGAGAGAGAGAGAGAGAGAGAGAGAGAGAAAAGTACTGACAAAGCAGTTCCCTTTCAGCAATCTGGGTTTTCCCAAACAGTGTCAAGACAGCCAGTCATTTTGAAATGGGCACTGAGAGTTCCTCTCAAGACTCAGAAATGTAGGTCAGGGCCCTGCTGACAGGTAGTTCAGGGGCCTCAGAGCCTCAGACCTGAAGTGCTCACTGCCAGGGAGTGAGAGACAAGACATCCAGCCACGGAGGACGGAGCCTGGCCTGGAAGGTGGAGACCAGGATCACCCAGGCGCTTCCAGGTGGGCTCCTGGTGGGAATCGTGGGACTGGTGCCCTCCTCGTCTACGTCCTCATGACGGTTCTGGATGGTGGTGTCAGACGGCAACTGGACCTGGAAAACTATTTGGTGTCCAGTTCCTTTTAACCATTGTTTCTGCATACAGTTGCGTAGCTAACTTCTAACTAGGGACATTTAGGCTTATGCCACCTCTTATTTACAAAGAGAAGCTCTTAACACTACCAAACTGTGAAAAGGACATCTGCATTCCTAAGCCGTGCAGATGCTTCTTTTAAAAATGTTACCAGATACCTTATGCTCTTTGATGAGGTATGGCTTGTGTGTTGAGGTCGTTTTATATGAAAGATTCAGGTTTTACTAAACAGATAGAAGCATAGGTGAAGAATGGTAGCTATTGAGGAACTGAATTCTCAGCAGTGTAATGACGGGCGCACTGAGTAATGCAACTCCGGTTATGAATGGGAACCAGCCTTTCCAGGGCCTCCCACAGCATCTCTTTGGCTCCTCAGAAGAATGGGCTGTGAATTTCACTGGTCAAAGTACACTCGCCTTTGTCTCCTTCTGTTTATCTTCGTTGTGTATCCTTTCTCCGAGTTTTGCTCACTAAGGGGTAATTATTTTCAGAGTATGACTAATGCTTAATTCTGGTCAGGAAAAGAATTCATCTTCAGAAGTTAGAGCAGGAAGAGGGGCTGAGAAGAGAGCCCAAATGAAGAGGAATTGTATTTTAACAAGGGGCAGGGGTCCTACTAAGAGAACTCACAGTCGTCTCTGAAGGGTATAGAACTCCATCCTTTTGCAGTGCTGCGTCCACTTCTGATCGCATCTCCCAAGCCAGTGACATCTCTCTGCCCTCCTCCCTCTGTCTTTTCCTCCTCCCCTTTTCTCTCCTTCTTTCCCTTAGTCCTTTCTTTCTCCTTCTTTTCTTCCTAACCAAAGACAACAATTGTTAGGGAAAATGTAATGCCTTTTATCACTTCATGAAAGCATTGCAATTGAAACATTTCCATGATCTTTTGCAGAAAGAAACAAAGGGCTCTTTCCCGTTTTCGGGCATGAATCAGGTGGCAATTCAACTGGACGTGTCCGTAGCCCTTTATGTGCTCTTCAGCTGGTGCCATGGAGGTATAGTGTTTTGTGTACCTAGCTCTACCTCTTCTTCATCAAATAGACACTGAGTGATTTTGATTTTCAAGGCATTATGCTGAAGGATATAAAAATTATTCAGTGGGGAAATATGTGCACACAGACATTGCGAGAGGCAAAGCAACAGCGGTGCAGCCTCCTTCCAGATGCAGGGTCTTGCTCAGCCGTCCCCGGCGGACAGCTCTGCTGGTCACCGGGCACATTTCCAGGCGGGGGGCGCTTATGGCTTGAGTTGGCGAGTTCTGTTTGAGGGCCGTTCCCACCGCCCGAGGGGCCGTCAATGCCCGAATTTAGCTCCACCCACGACCCGCGTGCTGACGGTGACTGTGCCGGCTGCGCCCGCCCACCTGTGGCCCATCACCTCCCGCAGGGCTCCCGGGTGCTGTGACGACTCCTGTCTGATCCCGATCCTGTGGGCCCCGAGCGTTGAGGGACCCAAGACGGCACTGGCTCAGGCCGGCAGCCTGGACACTGGGAGTTTCTGCCTGGAGCCCCAGGGCCCGAGCAGCGGCAGGAACAGCGCCCGCAGGGTCCAGGCCTGGGCGAGCACCTGCAGACCCCACTCTCCGGCACAGGGCAGGCAGGGCCTCCTCTGAGGCTGGGGACGAGTGTGTCGGAGTGGGGGCCCAGGCTCCATCCTCAGGGCCAGGCCGCCTCCAGGGGTGACTTGGGGTCTTCCAGAGCCAGGGACAGCGACACAAGAAGCCTCAGGAAAGGAACACCCGCTTTTCCTGCTTCCTAGAATAGCAAGGCGTGAGCAGGACTCTTTCCCACGCTCAGCTCAGCGCTGGCAGAAGCCGCAGCTCCAGACGCGGTTGGGCCGAGGGTCCCCCCGAGGTTGCCTTTATATTGCTCCATCTGCTATTTTTCTTATCATCCAGACTACATTTTTCCAAGTTTTCCACTATGATTTTGTTACTCCTTTTCAGCAGCTTTTCAGAAATAAAGTTATACTGGTTAACATTTCTCTAAACCATCTAATAATCCCATTTAAAAGGGAAATTAACATTTTGAATGACTTTTTCTCCAATAACCTGGTGACTTCTATTGATCACTGATTTTTATTGCCATTTTCTGAAAGAATACAGATTTAATTAACCCCTGACTGCTGTGAACCTCAATGGCCCAGTGTTTCTGAGGCTCTTCCTTCTTCTGTTTTTGAAAACCAGGACATTTGACCAAATCTAGTCTTCTACTTTTGATTTTTCTAGATATTCTCAAAAGAGTTTCATGATAGCATTCACATATATCATTATAAAATTTTGATTATTTTATTTTTTGTTTTTTGAGACAGGGTCTCTCTATGTAGTTTATGCTGGCCTTGAACTCACTATGTAGCCCAGGCTGGTCTCCAACTCACAGCAATCCTCCTGCCTCAGCCTCCTGCATGCTGGGATTATAGGCATGCATCACTATGCCCAGCTCACATATATCTTAAAAAGTGCTGGAGATGTTCTTTGTATACATTTAAATTGTCAAATTCATTTAAAGTATCTAGATATTTTCTTAAATCTTCCTTTTAATGTCTTTGATTTCAATTCCCTATTGATGGTGATGGGATTATTTTGTCATTACTTCAACATTTAAATATTTATAATATATATAGAAGTGTTCATTATACCAACGGAAATAGTCAATTACATTTATATTATGTAACAAGTTGATTCTTTGAGCTTTGAGTTCCAAGTATAAGAGCATTTTAAAGTAAGTGCTGGCCTTTAATATCACTACTTTTATAAAGATGTTTTAACACAAGTATTTCCAGAAAACACCCATAATAAATTTCACAGAATTTCTGGTATGAATTTCATTTCATTATTATTGAATTACATTGTCATTTGACTTTATAAATATGGCTTTTCTTTCTTTCTTTTTTTTCTTTTTGCTAGAGATTGAACTCAGGGCTTTATTCATTCTGGACAAATGGTCTACCTCTGAGCTATATTCCCAGCCAAATGACTTTATATTATTTGTTTTTATTCATAAAGTCATGCATCCATTTAAAAACATAGGCATATACAATTTAAAAATGGAAAATTAACAGATTATCTTTAATATCTTAATGTTTTTCTTTTCAATTTGCCCACTTATTTACTTCTTTCCAGCACTGAAACTATATTAAATATGTTTTTTGCAATTTGCTCTTTAATTTAACAGTATATTGTGAACATTTTCTGTACTATCAAATTAATGATGAATTTTATGTGGTTATTAAGCACTAGATTTTTGTCATTTGCATAAGTATTGTTTTATTCATTATATTCATAATTGTGTGAGAAAAGTAGATTTTATCTTTAAAAACAAACATGACAACCAATCTCTCTAATGACTGGGGTTTAGATTCTGTAGTTCTCACTGTTATTTCTGATCTTAGCTTTGAAATATGGCTGAGCCTCCAGCTGCCTCGGTTCTCCGCATCAAAGCAGGAGAGCTGATTATATTTGCTCTCTAGACCATGAGGGAACATTGAAACCTGGGTTCTCACCTATCACGTGGCTGAACCTAAATAGAAGCATGACAAAAGCACTTTAAAAATGTTTAGTTTTAATTTTTTAAAATAGAAATCTGCTAATATAAAAGAATAATTTAAAATGCAATAGCATATTCTTCTGCATCTGTTGCAATATTTTCCACAGACTTTATCACTTGTTTGTTTTCAGGAATTACAAAAATAAACTGCTCTGGCAACATCTGGGTAGAACCAGCCACGGTTTTTAAAATGGGTACAAATATCTCTGTCTATTGCCGAGCAGCCATTAAGAATTGCCAGCCAAGGAAACTTCATTTTTATATAAATGGCATCAGAGAACAATCTCACACCTCAAGGATTAATGAAACAACAGCTTGTCAGCGGTACAAGAACTTCCTGGAGCCCCGCGCCTCCGTGTACTGCACCGCAGAGTGCCCTGGACGTTTGAAAGAGACGCTGGTGTGCGGACAGGACCTTTCCTCTGGATGTAAGTGTCGGGACATGTTCCAAAAGCAAAGCCAAGCCAGTCTCACAGTGCAGCTCATGCCCAGTCCCATCCACCAGGAGTCAGAGCAGCGCAGCTCACATCTCAGACAGGTTTCCCATGGGAGCTGCTAACACAAATGTCTCCAGGCTCAGGCAGGGACCTCTGAGTCAGGGGGCTGGGGAGGCCCAGTGGGAGAAGAAAGCTCTCCTGAGACCGCCACCCAGCATGCATGGGGCCAGGGGTGTCCTCCAAAGGCAGCCAGAAAAACAAATGTTTAATGTGAATACCAAATTTTAAAATACTGTGAATACATTTTTTTAAAAGACCAAGTTTTTTACCACCAGCCTGGCCAAATAAGGCATAGGAAGCTACCACTCTCAGATTTAAAATGTCCCTCTTTTCATCTTTTTTTTCACTTATATTTTTTGTTTATTTTCCAAACTAATGTCATCCACCTGGAAACAGATTCCATTGAAAGGTTTTGAGACTAAGATTCAGGGAAAGTCGCAAAACCAGCTTTGTGTTCTCACTGTGCTCCTTTCTTACTATTTGGGCAACTTATTTAACCCATTGGAGCCTTGATTGCTTGTCTGTCAAATGCAGATAATTATATGGCTGTGTTTGGTACTGAATCTCAATAATTCATTTAAATACAGATTACAAACTGTAAGTACAACCTCTATGCCTAAATCCCTAAAAATGCATACTTTGTTGTTTTTTTGGTTTTTTTGGTTCAGGGGATTGAACTCGGGACCTTGCGCTTGCAAGACAGGCACCAGAAACACTGAATTAAATCCCAGGCCCAAAATGCATACTTTGGATAAAACATAGGGAGATTCTCATACAATCCTTTACTAAGAATTCCATAGTCCCTCTGCAACTACTGTTTGTTACTATACTTTTAAGAAAAAATTAGTCCAGTTGATCTACGTGATGAGTCATTTTGTGTTCATGATACCCTGAAAGTTGGAGCTCCTATAGTAACATGAGCTGATTTATTCAATGTCATATGTCAATGTTAGGTCTCGGTTCTACTGTGAAGGACAAATCAATTAATTGAGCACTGTTTTAATCTAAGTATCCATTCTCTGCAGCACCTATGCCCATTTTCAACAACAGAGAAAGGGCTTGCATCTGTAGCAGGCTCCCTTCCTCCACGCTTTGGAAATCAAGACTGAGTTCTTGCTTCTTCCTCACCTCTAGCATAACTATGAGAGCCAGGCAGGGTTCCCACTAGGCAGGCGATGCTGTTGTCCAGTGAGGCCGTTGTCCAGTGAGGCCATTGTCCTGCCTGACTCTGGGCAGCTATCATGTGTGCCTTTCAAAGAGAGAATGTAGGGAAGAGGCAAGCCGGGAAAGAAAGTGTAGGTTGGGGCATCAAAGAACCGCATTGCTAGACTTGCACTTTAATGTCTTCAACTTGCCCTAAACTGTGGAAATTCAACTGCAGGCTGACTTCTTATCTGATGTACAGATTGTCCCTAGCTTGTCCACATCCTCAGGAAGCATAACCCGCTCTCAGTGCTAACACATTACTGCGCACCTGTCCTGGGGTGCGGGAGGGGAGGAGAGGGCAGTGTGCTGTTTCCCTGGAGGACAAATAGGTAACTTCCAGGGTTATGGGCAAAGGTTAGTTATTAATTTAGCCAGAGGAAAAAAGGGTAAGAAATAAGTAATCCCCTCCTTCAAAAGACAGCATTTCCACCGATTTAGTTTTTAGGTCAAAGTGGCTTTTATCAAACTGGTGTGACATCTCATTGCATAGGCACTTGATTTATGAGGTCGAGCTGCACCTCATTTTGTAAAATACACAATTGCTCCACTGGGCTTCACAGGACAGTCTGTTTTGGAAAAGGAGGGACAAGGAAGCAGAAAAATTAAAAACTGGGGGAAAGTGTGTGTTGGGGGTTTACCGTCACGCTGCTTCCGGTTACTTTCCTTGAGAGGGTAAAAACAAGGGGGGCTTTTCCGCAGCTGGGTCAGGGTGACCGGGCCTTTCAAGCTGGGTGTTGGGTATCTCTTGTTTTCCGGAAGAACTGGATTTGGGGGATCCGATCTGCTTCCTTAAAGCATCAGTTTGATTGTGTGGCACTTGGCACAAGTCACTCCATTTTGGTTTGGTCTTCTGGGGCGGAGGGCAGGAGCGCATTCCTAAACACCAGCCTCCCACAAATCCTATGCAGCACCCCCTCCCTCCTTGGATTGTTGTCTGCGTGGCTGGGTTATTCCCAGCAGCCCTGCCGGGTGGGCTGAGCAGCTGCCGTCCTCACAATTCAAGGCCAGGCCGTGTTCCAGGCCAGACAGCGCCCCCTCCCAGGACACTGGTGTGGTCTTCCCATGGTTGCCCAGAAAAAGCCCCCTCTTTCCATCATGCACCTGGGGCGTAGCTCCTTACGCACAGCTCTGGTTCTGAGTACAGGAACCTAACCGCAGCGAGCGTTTCCGCAGACCCCTGGATTCAAGCTGAGTGTGCTCTCGAGCTCTCCATGCTTAGCAAACAAAATCTCCTATTTAAGTGGGTCAATAAAGGGTTTTTGAGGGTTTCTGTGGCACTCTAGAAATCACACTGCTTTCACTGAGCCACTTTGATGACAGGATATCTGCCCTGTGTGTTTCACAGTTCGATTTATCATCACTTATTTTGAACAAAATGATTCTAGGCACTTTCGTAGACTGGAGGGAAATCATGAAAGATAGAAAATAAGTGAGTCATTGCTTTCCCTGAGAAGATGTCCAAATATACTTAAGTTTCTCTAATGCATAATTGGTGAAATACAAACTCTCACAATTTCCATCTTAGGCCATAATCTTAAACAATTCTTAGATTATTATCTGTGACAAAATACACTCATATTATAGGAAGTTTGTTCTAACTGGGGTCACACTAATCACAGCATTAAAACACTTCAAAATACCTTTATTCATTTAAAAATTCCAATTAAAATAAACTATAACTAGTCATGTTTCCCCTTAATCATTTATTTAAAATTTTAAGCTACAATGACTTAAATTTTAATCATATTTTGCTTCTCTCTATAGTGGTTAAAGCAGGGTTTTTTAATCCAATAAAACCCCAGAATGCTTATCTTTAACATTACTATTAAGTATGTGTCATTACCATGTAATTGGGCTGCCTGAGCCCTCTCTGTGAAAGGAATTCCAGTGTTCCAGTGTGATCTATGCCCAAAGCATTGTGCCTGACTTCATTTATGTGATTTTTTTTCTGGTTATTGTTATTTTGTTTTTTGGTTTTTATTTTTTTAGACAGAGTCTCACTAGGTAGCCCTGGCTGGCCTCAAACTTGTGACGATCCTCCTGCCTCAGCCTCCCAAGTGCTGGGATCATAGGTGTGCACCACCACACTTGACAATGTGCTTGTCTCAATACTTCCCATCATCTTATTAATCAAGCTACACAATTCATGAAATAATCTTCATTGAGTGGCTACTGTGCATCTAAAATGTGCTCAGTGCTAGGAAGGTAAAGAAGGAAGAAACATAGACCTTGCTTTCCAGAAGCTCCTAGTAGAAATTGATCCCTGATTATGCTGAACTAACAAGAGCTCTATGGTCAGCGAGGATCTCAGTGATAAAAGAAGGAAGGGATTGGCAGGAAAAAGCACAGGCTTAGACCTCTTTCTTGCATGTTTCAGGGCGTGTGTGGGATCTGGTTGTGCAGCAGGTTTTAACTCTTGACTATTGAATAACTTGGCAATGATATCTAACAAGCAGATGCTATCCTCAGAGCCACTCTCAGGCTGTCTTTATGTTGCTTCACACTAACAAAAAATTCCGTGCTTCTCTGCATATGTGTAGAGCTCTTTTTATTGTCTGCAAAGTTAATTAACTGCCTGGCATTTATAATCCCGAGCATTCACTGAATATAGAATGCTGCAGAGGGATGTAGCCCAAAAAGTAGAGACACGTGTCTTTTGTGATTACAAACTCAGCAACATTCTCTATATGAAGCCACAGGAAAAAATAACTTCAGCACAAATGATTGTAATAAGTAGGAGATAGTATTGCAAACAATGTCCAAAATGATCTAAATTTATGTTTCTGTCTGGGTGTGAGGGCCCGTGTCTATAATCCCAGCATTGTGGGAAGCTGAAGCAGGAGAATTGCAAGTTTGAGCCGAACCTGGGCAATTTAGTGACTTAATGAGACCTTGTCTCAAAATAAAAATAAAAAAGAACTGGTGACGAAACAGTGCAAAGCCGCTTGGGTTCAATCCCCAGTACTACAAAAATAAACAAATCGTTTTCAAGATTACACTTCCGCACTTGGATCCTGCAGGGCTCAGGGCTTGAGGGTTTCTTTTACCCTGCTTGTAGAGCTATTTCTTCCCATTGCAACTCCAATGCTGCCCCTCACCACAGTGTCCTAAAGTATTCTCATGCGCTCTTACAGTTTGAAAATAGTTTTTAAATTGTAAAATCAATTGTATTCAATGTAGAAAGTTAAAAAACAATTAACCAGCAAAAAAGAAATACCTGTCATCTCCATAATCCCATAATTTCACTAGCAGATTTTTCAAATCTCTCTTTCTCTCTTTCTCTGCCACTAAACTATTTTGCAACATCTTTTTACTTAATAATTATATTTCTAATGTCTTCCAAAGACCAGGCCCTTAAAGTTTCTTCTATAATGTTATTTTTCATGTATTTTAAGCATGTAGTATAATTTAACCTTATCTTGGGTATTGAGATGGTTTTCCAGTGTTTTCATTGTTATGAACAATACTTTAGGCACACTGTTTTGGCCAACTATGTTTATATATATGTGAGCATTTCACTAAGGGTAGTTTCTAGATGTAACACTGTTGGGATACAAAGTATCACCTCACTTTTGATGACTGCCATACGCAAAGTACCCTGGGTAAAGGTGCTCCCAATCCTGCTCCCACCAGCCACGGGGGAGGATTTGGCAGAGCCCTTCCCAGCACTATGTGCACCATTTCTCAAAATCCTTGCCAATGTGATAGAACTAAATGACATTATTATTGTTGCTTTGATTCACAGTGAGGACAAACTTTTAATGTTTTTGTTATTTTACAAGTAATAGTTTTGGTAGCTGATTTGCTGATGAATTTGTACTTAAGACAAACCTTTGGGTGCAAGTTCAGGTGCACACATGTCTGCATCTCTATCCTTACTCTCTCCCCACTTCCCATTTGTCTTGTGACTCTGAGCAGACGCACACCCCAGCTCTGTGTCACAAGTGGGGAACGCAGGAGAAACCGTGCTTGAGAGTGGGTGTAGGGTCAGACGCCTCTGTCCCATGCTTCTGTCTTGAGCAGTGGTGCTGGTCGCTCACTGTAGGGCGGCGCAGCTGAGGGCCCCAGACGCTACCTTCCAGGGGTTGTGGCTCATGGCCTCTGAGGGCCCCAAGGTGTGAATAGCGTCCTCAGAACTCTCTCCTCTTCCCACTTCTTGGTTTTCCCCCTGCCTACGTTGACTTCATTATTCTTCTTCTTCTTCTTCTTCTTTTTTTTTTTTTAATTTGGGACAGGGTCTCACTATGTAGTCCAGGCTGGTCTTGAACTTTCTATGCACCCCAGGCTGGCCTTGAACTCATAGTGATCCTCCTGCTTCGGCCTCCCAGGTGCTGGGATGCCAGGTGTGCACCACCATGCTGACTGCTAAAAATATCATTCACTACTCAAGTGCACTTTATACTCAGGGGACAGCAACTTTAGGGGCAGGAATGCGTCCCTACCATGGCCCTGAAAGAGTCCCTCGCAGAATTCCGATGACCTCAGCTTGGGCCACACACCAAGGCCCTCTAGGCCAAGGGCACACTTCTGTGCGGCCTGCTGACCACAGCCTGGGGGTGAAGGGGCTGGACTGGGGTGAAAGGGGTGCTGAGCAGAAGCTCAGCATGGGCCACCACAGCAAGGCCTGGGCGGGGGCAGCAGGTATGGGAGAGAAAGACAGGGAGCCTTGAAATCCAATTCTGCAAACACCAAACTTTTCAAAAGTTCTTTCTGATGTGGTGCTGGTGGTAAAACATGCAGAACATGAAGGGGCCGTTTGGAGCACATTCGGTGCACAGCCAGGTGGCTTTCGGTGCTGCTCTCCAGTGCAAACCAATCCTCTGCACCTGCCTCCCCACTGCGTATTTCAGTCACACAACATGCAGGGCAAGAAAGAGTGGCAGAGGAAGGCACACTGAGGGGCCAAACGGGACAGAGGTGGGGCTGGGGAGAGTGCACTGTGGTAGGCGTTGCCAGGCTTGTCAGGGATTTTGTGGCCTGTGTTGGGGAGGTTGGACATGATCTCGGGGGGCACAAGAAGTCACTTAAACTTCTAAGTCTGAACAGGACACTGACGTGATACTATTTTAGATGAGTCACCCTAGCTGGACTTCGGTTGAGGGTCGGAGACAGTGAAGGGAAGGCCAGGGAGTTCACCTATTATGCAGAAGCTTTGGAGGTGGTTCCACCTAGCAAGGGTGAGTGCTTAGACTAAGACACCGTGAAAATGACAGGGACAGAAAGGAGTCAGGAATGAAGGCGGAATGAGGAGATCTGGGGCCTGACTGGATGTGGACCCTGGGGAAGGAGGGGCCAAAGTCACCGTCAGGGTAGAGGTCACGGTCAGTGGCAGCTGACAGGACACCATGGGGTCTGTGGACACTGGGACATGTGGTCTTAGCAAGGGACCGAACAGATGGTTCGGGTACCGTGGACCCAAAAAAGAAAGGCAGAGCTGAGAGGCCCCTGTGGGAGTGGAACTTGACCTCGTGCTCTGCCCCACGGTGGTGGAGCGGTTACTGTGGGACACCAGAGCCACGCGGATGACACATGGATTGTTTACCCTGAGCCGCTCCACACTCCCTGGTCTGGCTCCTAAGTGACACTCTGTTGCAGATCCGCCGGACGCCCCTGAGGAGGTGACCTGTGTCGTCCGTGAACACTCGGGCCGCATGACGTGCAGCTGGACCGCGGGCAGGCCCACCCACCTGGACACAGAGTTCGAGGTGCGCGTGCAGAGGTGGGTGCCGTTGTCCCCTTCCAGGCGGGTCCGCAGCTGTCCAGTTGAGACAGCAGCATCCAGCCGTGTCCCCTTCCTGCTGAGTGACCAGCGAAACAACCACGCCCTCGGGCCACCGGAAGTCCATCCTAGCCCTTCCGTCCTGGCCTTCCGCCTTGTCGTCCTTCTAGGGAACTGGGAGCCAGCGGGGCTCTAGCTCAGCTCGCTTTAAACAGGGACTAAACCCAAGCCCTGTTCTCCTTCCAGACTCAGGCGATTCACTTTGTCTCTCAAAGGTGCCGATTCTTCATCTCTTAAAATGGGCTGCAGAGTAGGAGCTAAAGCATGGGTTTGTTCCAATTGATTAAACGGCATTTGACTTTTAAAGCATGTGTCACAGAGCTGGCCGCCTACTGTCCCCCGGCAGACCCCCTCCCTCCCCCTCCCTCGGTCTCTTTTCCTGTCTTCTGTGGCCACTATTTCTGATAGGTATAATTCACTGGCCATGCAGCTAACCTTATCTAAAGTACACCGTTCAACAATTCTAGTGCATTTCACAGATTTGTGCAACCACCATCACAGCCAATTTTAGATTATTTTCAGCGGACCAGAAAGACACTCCATGTCCATAGCAGCCACTTCCTATCTCTCCACAATCTGTCTGTCCTTGGCCAACACTGTCTACTTTCTGTTTCTGCCTGGGATTTAGCTCAGTGGTTCCGCCACCTGCCTCACAAGCACAAAGTCCTGAGTTCGATCCCTGGTACCAAAAATTAAAAAAAGGATCTGTCTACTTACTGTTTCTGAGGGTTTGCCTACTATGCCCCTTTATATAAAGGGAGCCATACAGTAAGTGGACTTCTATGACGGAGCTTGTTCACTTAGGATGTTTCCAGGGTTCATCCGTGGTAGCATGTATTGTAGTTTGGTGCTTTTGATGACCGAATAATATTCCATTCTATGGCTGTATCTCGCTATGTTTATCCTTTCATTAGTTGACAGATATTTGGGCTATTTCTACCCACTAGCTATTGTGAACAGTGGTTCACTTGCCACCTGTATACATGCTTCTGGTAGGCATGTGTTTTCATTTCTCTTACGTGCACACTTAGGAATAGAATGGCTACATCTGTAACCTTTGAGGACATCCACAATAGTTTCTAAAGCAGCTTTGCCATTTCACACTTCCACTAATGGTGCCCGGGGCTCTGCCATCTCTGTGTCTCTGCCAGCCATTGTCATTCCCTGATGGTTGCTGCATCCTCCTGGGCTGGCTAATGTTTTAAAGCCCATGCACCTGTGTTCTTAGGTGCCCAGCAGTGAGAATCTGGGACAGACAGAGCTCAACTTGAGAAAATCTAGTTGCTAGACAAAATTTGCTGATCACTGCCTAATTTGCTATTTAATATCATAAAAATATTCCCCAAATATTCCATGCATTTAAAATCCTTTAGTGCATTCAAAGTCGCACATGTTTAACTTACTCGCCCGGGGCTTCTGAGCAGCACAGCTGCTGTGTGAGGTAAAGGATGACCCTGAGGCTGGGCTCCTCCTCAAAGTCTCCAAAAGGCAGAGAGCAGACGGGCTGCAGAGAGGACTTTCCTCCGTGTCTATGGGGAAGAGCGGCTGCAGAGTTTCCTGTCTGATTTCCATTCTGGAGCTGCTCAGTAAGGCGTCCTTTGCCTGCCGAGCCCAGACAGCCCGGGGCAGTGCTGAGCATGCCAGGTCGCCCACACCTCGGGGCTGGGCACCAGGATCCCCAAGAGCCCCCGTCTGCACGGGCCTGGGTTTGATCCCAGCACAGCAGATGGTGGACAGAGACGGACTGGAGACTCTAGAAATGTTTAGGCGCCCTCTCCATGCCCAGCGACCCATAACCCTCTTTCGAAACCACCAGCAGCAGACCAGTACGGCGAATAGTTTTAGATTAGATTTATTTTTTATTTATGTATTGCTTTAGGCTTTGGAGGATTTTTGTTTTTGTTCTTATTTTTTTAGACAGGGTCTCGCTGTGGAGTGCAGGCTGGCCTTGAACTCACTATGTAGCCCAGGCTGGCCTCGAATTTGAGGCAACCCTCCTGCCTCAGCCTCCCAGGTGCTGGCACGACCGGTGTGCTCCCGCATGCCCAGTTTTCTTCCTGCCTTATGTTTTCTCGCTCACTCGCTGCCCCGCTGGCACAGCTCCGACCTGACCACTGACTCCCTCACCAGGCCCTGCCCAGCTCCTCCCAGGCTCCCCAGCAGCTCCCCCTGGCCCGCCATCCGCACTCGGCTTCTTAGGCGCCTCCTCCTGCCCTCCTAGGTGCTTTTCTTGGTCTCCTCATTTGCAGGGCAGCAGCCGGGACCCAGAGCTCCTTGTACCTTCGTGCACTCTCAGGGCTCAAAGTCCAGAGGCCAAATCCACAGTGTAAACTCGCCTGCCATGTCCAGCCCAGCCCTCTCCTGCAGGGCAGCCACACGGCCTGACACCTCCTCCACGCCCCTGCCCAGCCCCGCCAGGCTGAGTCACTGCCCGACCTTCTCCCTGCTCCCCCTCTTCCCGTCCCAGCCAACGCGCTCCCTCCGCAGTGGGACTGGGCTCCGGGTCCCCCGAGTCCCCCCAGAGCCCTCCTGTCATGCTCTGCACCCTATGAGGTGCAGGATCTTCCCCACACTTGAGCTCTTCCCAGCTGGCCCACGCCTGTCGTCCCAGCACTCGGAAGGCTGAGGCAGGCGGGTCGCTGTGAGTCCGAGGCCAGCCCGGGCTGCATAGTGAGTTCAAGGCCAGCGTGAACTACACAGGAAACCCTGTCTCAAAAAACAAAAAACTTGGGGCCAGGGATTTAGCTCCATGGTTTCACCACCCGCTGCACATGCACAAGGACCAGAGCTCGAGCTCCGGTACCAAAAAACAAAAAACAAGAAACTAAAACTAGGAACAAAACATGTCCTCTTCCCTCCCAGCCACACTGCAGCCCCCGTCCCTTCCCCATCCACGCAGCCTGTCCCGGAAGTGGGTGAAGTGCCCTTCTGTGGGACCCTCACGTCATTTGCCCCTCTGCTCAGACCACTGGGAGGCCCTCTGGGGCTCTCCACCCTTACCTCCAGGGGCAGCACACCCACTGGGGTCGGCAACTCTATTCTCACTCATCGACTTGGCTGTGACAACAGGTCTCAAGGTGGGAGGGCTCAGGCCCACGCACTGAGCCCCACTTCGGACCCCCAAGTCCTGGCCTTTAAAAAAAGGAGGCTCTCTCCATGCAGCTGAGGCTGGCCTCGAACTCACAGCGATCCTCCTGCCTCAGCTTCCCGAGTGCTGGCATTCAGGTGTGCACCACCATGCCTGGCTATGATGTTGCTTTTGACTGGCTATAAAGTGGGGTTTCCAGACCACCTCCTCGGGGTTAATTTACTACAATGACTCAGAGCTAGAGGAAACCCGTTAACCCTTTACTATAAAGGACATGACACAGGACACGATGGGCAGTAGATAGGGGTGCGTGTCAAGGCGTGCGGGAAACCAGCCCCTGGCGGGTACCGACCACAGCCCCTCCCTTGGCAGCGCAGGGTGGTCCGTCCCTCTGTAGACGGTGGCTTCTGGGGTCCCCTGGGGGGCAGCCCCCTCCCCACTCTGCAGGGGCACTGGGGCTCGGAGAGATGCCCGGCCCCTCCGAGATCCCAGGGGTCTTGGGTCTCTGTGCCCATACGTGCAGGATTTCAGATTACTACACCTCGTGATTACAAGTTCTTCGATAGAGTCATTCATGATTACTGGGTTTTCAACTACAACAGTGCTCGCGTCTAGGTACTAATATGGGGTCAACTTTAAAAGCAGAATTAAATGACCTAGTAACTCTGATTAATGCTGGTTTGAGAATAAATTTCCATTTGACTTCAGATCTCTGTAAGTGTGGTAAAAGAATTAGCCACAAATGAATTGAGAACACGCATGTGGTTTTCTCTAACTGGAAAATATTCAAAGACATCCCACCTACTTACCCAGCATTGCCATTTGAGTTCTTGTTTAGCCTAAGATTAGCATATCCTCTAAGGTTCTGGGTTAGTGTATTCAGGTTCCATCTTATTTAGAAAGAGTATTAAGTAGTTATATAAATACTTAAACTCAGTGGCTTAATTCAATTTTAGATACAAGCAATATTAAAGAAATAAAGCAACATTGTTTCATGAAAGTGATACATTATTTCGGGCATAGTGGTGCATGCCTGTGACCCTTGCACTTGGGAGGCTGAGGCAGGAGGATCACCATGAGTTGGAGGCCAGTCTGGGCCTATATATAGGGAGATCCTGTCTCAAAAAAACAAAACCCTAAAAAAGATAACTCATCAGTACCTTTAATTCACCATCACAGCTTTTGTTTGTTATGTGTGAGGTTCCCTGACCCTTGCTTTCTTGTCTCACTTACTGATGAACACAGCACCATCGCTGCCACTTTAGAGAGGGGTGACCTGCAGCTGTGGGGGTTGGGTAACCCACCTCGGGTCCCATAGCCTCCCAGGGCCTGCGGGGAGTCTGTCCCTAAGTCACAGGGCTGGACTTTGGTCGGAGTGATCAGCCCACCCTGCCCCTCCTGGAGGTCACCGTGGATGAGGGGCAGCCCGGCAGCGTACCGGGGCTCCCAGCCAGGGGGGCCCAGGGTTCTGCACCGCCCAATGTGGTCCCCTCCAACCCCAGTTCAGCCTGAGAGAGGGCCCTGGGTGCCTGCCCGGTGGGAAGAGTAGTATGTGTCTATCAAACTGTGTGAGGCATGGCCAAGAAGCATGGAGAAGCTTTCACCTTAAAAAAAGTTGCCACAATAAAAGCCACACTGCCATGGATCCCCTCAAAACCCTCCCTTCACATCCAGGACTCTCGTCCCACCATCCTGGCCACTTTCTGCAGCAGCTCTGGAGTCCTCTCTCCATACTTGCGCTGTCCTGGCTGCCTCGATGTCTTGAATCAGTTCAAAACCATTCCCTCTCGTGGTCATCCTGACTTTGAGGAAGAACAGGAAGTCACATGGTGCCAGATCCAGTGACTGAGGTGGATGAGGACACAGCGTCATGGTTTTTTTCGAGCTGCCTTTCCACTGGACAGCACTTGGCAGCAGCAGTCATTGTATTTTTTATCACATCTTATAAAGACACTCAGGAAAGAGGACTCCAGAGCTGCTGCAGAAAGTGGCCAGGGCGATGGGATGAGTGTGTTTGAAACAGAGTTCTTTTGAAGGGTATGAATGGCAACGTGTCTTGTACTCTAATTTTTAAATTTAAACTTTAATGATGTTTCTCAATCATCCCTTGTATTAAAAAGCCTACAGAGGGCTGGGGATTTAGCTCAGTGGTTTTGCCTCCTGCTGCGAAAACACAAGGACCCTAGTTTAATCCCTGGTACCAAAAAAAAAAAAAAAAAGCCTACAGACACACACAGAACTATTTTGATTCATAAATGCACTGCTGGTTGGTGGAATGAGGAGGCTGCTTCCTCTTTTCTGTTCCCTACTCTCCAGAGCCTGAGGGTGGCTGTCGAGGTCTAAGTTGACTGGATATCACGGGAGACACCTAGGAACTTCGGAACTGACCCACGGTAGTGAGGGCCCTGGAGTAGACCCTGGGCTGAAATGTTCTAAGCTCTGCTTTCCCTGAAAACCCTATCAGGCCAGGCCTGGGGACAGATAAACAAATCAGGTCAGCACTGAGGCTCAAACTTTGCATCCTCCTGCCTCAGCCTCCCAGGGTGCTGGGATTATAGGCCTGCGCCACCACATCAGCTTGCCCTTGTCCTTCAAATTTCAGAAAATAAAGTAAAATTTGATTCATTTTTCAGTGCAAGGCTGCATGTCTGAAAGCAAACTGAGAAAGGTAACATTATAAAAGTCTGGAACAATTAGCGAAAACTAAGTTTAACTTGAGATGATCTTTCTTTTAAGTTTGGAGACAGGAGAAGAGCAACGGTATCTCGCCTCGAGCTACGTGGACATCTCCACAGATGCGCTGCCAGCTGGCAGGAAGTACTGGGTTCGGGTCCATGCTGCAAACGTGCTCGGCATGGAGGAGTCAAAACCCTTGCACGTTCACCTGGATGACATAGGTAAGGAGAAGCGGAGCAGTAACTTTTGAAAAAGTATTTTTTCAGACAGAATCTCACTATGCAGTTCAGGCTGGCCTTGAACTCACTATGGAGCCCAGGCTGGCCTTCAACTGTAGACAATCCTCCTGCCTCAGCCTCCCAAATGCTAGGATCCATGCATCTTTAATATAGGAATGTATGGTGCTCGCTTCAGCAGCACATATACTAATATAGGAATGTATGCTGGCCTAGCCAGATGCAGCCTAGATCCGAAAGGTCCCCAAAGTCATGACAGAGAACAGAGAGGACCCCGAGGTTCCTCTGTCTGAAGCAGTTCAGCAACAAGTCCTGCTGGCTCCTCGTGTCCCCTCTTCCCGTTGTGGCTCTGTACCCTGCTTGTGAATCTTTAGGAACTTCATATTTATCAGGAACTCCTACTGCTCCAAGCATTGTTCTTTGGGCCAGGAGAGTAAGATGGACAAAGAACCTCCGCTAAAATAAGCTGCTCTGAAATAGCTTGCAATGTGTCAGGGAACAGACAGGGAAAGAAACGAGGATGGTGACTGAGTATGCGGGCATGTTGTGAGACACACATGTAAGCGGAGTCTCCTGTCTTTATTTTGATGTTTCACAAAATGCACAGACAACTGTGGAGAACTTTGCAGCCATCTCCAAGTTCACCGGCCAGATATAGCAAATGTTGACGTTTTTGCTTCGGGTAGTTTTACACCACGCCCCTCACTGAACACTGAGCCTCCCCACGCCTCGCCCGCAATGTCACCTTCAGTGTGGTCTGAATGTGTCAATCTGATCCGCCTTGTGGGAGTTTACCCTGTTCTGTTTCTCGTCGTTAAAACCTGTGTTCCCACAAACACCCTTGTGGGGCCTTTTGGTAAAGTTCTGGTCATTTTCCGAGGCCAGCCTGGGTTACACGGTCAGACTCTATCTCAACCAATCAATCAGGCAATCAACAATTTACCCTTCAGGCTTTTACCACTTTACCCGGGTCCCAGAGTCAGAACTCAGACCAGGAGCAGCAAACCGGCCTGGCGTGCTCCGTGAGGTCACAGCATGGATGACCCCATTGTTGTTATGGAGAACTCCGAGAAGCTAACATTTATGGAGCATTCCTTTAATGTGCAACTGCTTTTCAGTACAGGATTTTATTCAACACTCACACTCCTCCGATTCTGCAGACAAAGGTTATGACTTATACACAAGGATGCCCGCGACCTGGTGGGATTCACACCACTGAGTTTACAGAGCTGGGAAGCCCTGTGTCCAGAGCCCTGGCCCCTCTGCCCAGCTTTCAGTGGGGAGTAAGGCACCCTGCAGCAGACCCGCAGCTCTCATGAAGCCTTCTCTCGGGGTGCAGAGGGGTGCTTTGGGCTGTCACCGAAGCCTCCCATCACAACCAACTTCGCAACTTCCAGCTGGAGACTCAGGACAGCAGTTCATGGAGGCCGGAGACAGCAAGGCAGCAAGGGTCCTTACAGCATCTTTCCGTCCCTTCTGTCTTATCCAGGCTGCTTAGGGCGGGCAGCACTCACACCCGTAATCCCGGTGCCCTTGAGCCTAGCATCGCACTGTGAATCGAGCCCAGCTCACACTCTAGATCCAGCACCTCTAAAAAGCGCCCCCCAGTGACCACATGAGGCTTTGGGGGACACCCAGACACAGCTGGCACAGAAGCCCACACCGTGGCTGGGGTAGTGGGCAAAAACTCTGTGTCCATGTGCGTTCTGGGAGTTAAAGTTTTCCCGGCACGATCTACAGGAGTTTTTAAGCTTCCCCTAGAGGGACAGCGCAGCAAGGGCCCCTCTGTCCACAGCTCCCCTTGGTGAAGGAGCGCTGTGGAGGCATCGTGGCCAGAATCACCCGGCAGTGCCTTTTAGCACCTAAATCACAGTGGGTAGAGGGCCCCTCATTGTTCTTAGGCCCCGATATCATTGCATCTGTTTAGTGAGCACGCACCGTTTAGGCACTGGACGTGTGCATTTAGTTGAATTTTGGGAATTAAACAACTGCACACAGGGGAGCTGAGCCCATTGGACAGGCGCTGGGGAAAATGAGAAAGGATGTGTCCCAGGCCACAGCTGGTGAGGAGGAGGCGCAGGATTTTTCCCAGACTCACTGAGTCCCGTGGTTAATGCCACCTCCCAGTCCACAAAGGAAAATCCTGCCGGGCTCCATCCCCAAATCTAACATGGGCAATGGAGAGTTGGGAGTCTTGTCCCCTTCTCCTCTTCCTCCTCTTCCTTTCTGCTCCTCCTCTCCCCTCCAAGACTCAGGAAGGAGCCGGCAGCTCGGGGTGGACCTCTGGCTTGACCTGCTGGCAGGCTCTGTCCACACTGTCAGCTTCCTAGCGGCCAGTCTCTGTGGCGGATGACCTGGGGCTGAGACACAGGGGGACAAGGGCACCCGGCCGGGGCACCGCAGCCCGGGCTGCACCTGCAGGGCACTGGGGACACGGAGCTCAACGTTCTGCCCCCGGGAGCGTGAGTTCCCCCTGCTGTGTGAATGCAGACAATCACGTGCTGTGGTCTGGTTCTTCTTCTAGTGATCCCGGCTGCGTCCGTCATCTCCGGGGCTGAGACCCTGAATGCCACAGCTCCCAGAACCGTCGTTCACTGGAAAAGCGAGACGGCGCTGGAGGCTGTGTCCTGTGAGCTGCGGCACAAGGCCTCCGACAACCACACATGGACGGTGAGAAGCGTTCGCGCTCCTGGTGTGGGGTCACGGCCGGGAGAAGCCGGCGAGTGTGCTAACAGGACTCACTTTGCACGCTTTCATGCAATCTCGCAGTCTAGTTTTAGCAATGGTTCCTCAGGCCTCCAGAGAGCCGGTTCCTGAAAAGATCGGCTTGCCTTTAGGAATTGCTAAATAGATCAGATCCTTAACCAATCCTGTTTCAGGAGCGTTGTCCCTGCCGGGTACCGGCCTGTGTCCACCTGTCTCCCACGCCTGACCCGTGATGTCCTGAAGGCTGCTCATTTTTATGTCTAGTTCTAGAGATAATCTTTCATGCTTTAGCTGTTATTCTTCTTATTATGTGCCTTTAATGGTACCTAAGGCAGAAGATTTTTGCCTGCAAACTCAAATAAATGGATTAATGGTGACTTATTTATCTAATTAAACTAAACCAGGGGGTTGGTAAACTTTTTATTTAAGGGCCAAATGGTAAATATTTGAGGCTTTGCAGTGCAGGACATAAGGCTTCTTTTTCTTTTCCTTGTTTTCTTTTCTTTGTTTCTTTCTTTGTGTGTGTGTGGGGCGGGTGAACAGGGTCTGGCTATGTATAGCCCAGGCTGGCCTACTTTGTGATCCTCCTGCCTCAGCCTCCAAACTCTGGGATTACAAGCCTGCGCTCCTGGTTTAGGACATAAGGCTTCTGTTCTCAGTGCTTGGGCCTGTGTGGCCTAAAAATGCACACAGCTGTGTTCAATTTAATTTTGGACTCTGAAATTCAGATTTATTTCTGTGCATCATGAAACAGCCTTTCCGTTTCCTTCCAACTGTTTACATACATAAAATCCCTTCTCAGCACAGGCTGCACACAAGCAGCCTCTGTTCCTGCCTGCAGGGGTGATGGGTGCAGATGGCAAAGGACCAAGCCCTGCTCTTGGGGTCGAAGGACTTGGGGCCACCGCCTACTTCCCTCCTCCAAACTCCAGGTTAAAGGTACTTGGGCAGAATAGATAAAGAAGATGTGGTTTTTTAATACAATGGCGTACTACTCAGCCATAAAGGATAAACTTGAGTCATTTATAGCTAAATGGATGCCACCTAGAGACCACACCCTTCAGTGAAATAAGTAGGACCCACATGTGTAAATTTTTCATTGTTTCTCTGATGTGAGAAGCTGAAAGTGTAAATGAGAACCAAAATATATAATTCACATTGTGAAATAAGAAGAAAATGTTCAAATGAGCAGAGGAAGTAGGGAGGGGAGCAGTGGAAAGGAAGGAAGGGAAAGGAAAAGAAAATGAGAAAAGAAGGAAAAAACGGAAACAAAGCCTTTGTAAATAAGGAGGGGAAGTGGGGTTGAAGGGAGAGGGGAGTGGGATGGAGAAAAGAACCGAGAGATATCATGTACAGGCACAACGTCCGCATGACGAATGTGATTGTCAGATGCACTGAAGTGTATCAATAAGCTTAATCAATTAAAAAAATAAAGCTACTTGGGCAGAGCACAGGGGTGACAGAGTAGGGCAGAAGCTGGAGGAGGGCACTCAGAGAGCTGATGGCCCCTGGTCTCGGCGGCAGGCAGGGACACCCGGACGGGACCCTCCGCTCGGCCGGGCCCTGCTGACCCCCACACAGCACTGCTGCAGGAACGTTGGTGCCACCCCACGAAAGCCAGGGCTCTGACCAAGGGAGGCCAAGCTCCAGGGCCCTGGAGCCACTAGAACCCAGACTGTAAATAGAAATTACTACAAAAAGTTACATTCCTTGTAATCCTGAAGCTAAATCTTCTGTCGGGGGAAGGAATTAGGCCTAGGTCTTGATAGTCACTTTGGCCGGGAGGGTGTCACTTTTTAAATTTTTTCAAAATTTTGAGGTAAATTCTCACTAAGTCACTAAGTTTCCCAGGCTGGGCTGAAAATAAAAAAGACTGAGGGCATGGTGGTGCGTGACAAGGCATGGTGGCGCATGCCTGTAAGCCCAGCACTTGGGAGGCTGAGGCAGGAGGACTGCATTGAGTTCAAGTCCAGCCTGAGCTGCATAGTGAGACGCTGTCTCAAAAAACAACAAAAGAGACTGAGGGTGTAGCTTGGTGTCAAGGCCCTGGGTTCTATCCCTCGTATCCACCGCACCCCCCCCCTTCCAACTTTGGAATTCTGGCTTAATTTTAGGACATTTCTTTTCTTAAAGAGGACTTATCTATAAACACAATGGCAAATGACACACTGGAGAAGAAAAATTTCTTCCGAGAAATGCTGATAGGAAGCCAAGCCGACTCCGTTTGAAAGTTCGGTCTTTGTCAGGATGGGTGAGATTCTGCCAGGTCTCCCAGGTCCTGATCATGTTCACACAGCAGACCTGCTGAGGCCATTCTTACAGAGACACTGAAGGGCGTCCTCTGGGATTCACACACCCGAAATGGATATTTCCGGGGATTTTACAATTTCAGAGCATTCCGAGCTTTCAAGATGGGTGCTAAGGTGGGGTTCTAACAGAAGAATCCCTACAGGAGGCTGATACTTTGTCCTTTTCTTTCTTTTTACCTTGACAGTTTTAGCTCTCTTCCCTGAGTACAGTGGACCCTTGACTTACAAACTCAGTCTGTTCCCGAGGGCTGGTTGTAACTCAAGTTGATCAATTGAAGGCTTGGGTTCCTCTACACAGCCTTCACAGTCTCTCTCCTGCGCACAGGCAGATCTCAGTGTCCTCAGAGAGACACTGGCCCGGGATTTCCCAGTGAGCCCCACACAGGAGAGGATGCTGTCATATTCCTTCCAGAGATCTTTAGGTTAAATCTGTACCTGAGACCATTTGGATTGTAACTTGAGACTTTGTTTGTAAGTTAAAAACTAACATTTGGTGGAATCTCAAGTTGTTCGTATGTCAGGCCAGTCGGGACTCCACGGTCCACTGTATCTGGGAACATTAATACCTCTCCAGATGCCTCAGATGTCTGCCTTCCAATGTGTACCGCTTTCTTCTGTAAATCACTTGGTACAGCTTTCAGAAGGTGCTCTGCAAATGCCTCGGTGTCTCCCGGGAGTGAGATGTCTGGGGTCATTTGTCATTGTGTTTTATTGCAGGTGATAGTGCTAAAAGCACTGTCAACTTATTCCTTTGGCTTTTTCTTTCTTATTTCTATTGGGATTTTTTCATAGTTCAACAGTCTTGAATATTTAGCCTCCCTCTCTCTCCATATATATATATATCTGTCTCTCTCTCTCTCTCACACACACAAACACACACACACACACACACACAGCCTTGTAGAATTTGCCTAAATCTATTATAATGACCAGTTTAACAGTTTAGCATGTGGGTCATTATTTCTAAAAGTAATCACAAGCAAATGAATTCTTTTTATCATTCAGGAAAAAATTGTTTATACAAATATTCAACAGCAGAAAGAAAAATAGTGTCGAGAGACAGAGAGACAAAGAGAAAGGATAGAAGCAATAGCCATCCAGTCCTGTATTTCCCCATCCCACTAAAATCAGCTGTTCCAGATGCAGAATAGGTGACATGTGGGATTTCCTTGAGATTCCATAAGCTTGAGAGAGTGGGCAAACACGTAGCAACATGAACTTCACTTTTACTGTTTAAAGCACGTATTTGGTTCTGTGTTTTCCTCTCCGTTTCTCAGGGCTTAGAAGAGCATGGGGAGGTAGCAGATGCTCCATACCTTTCTGCTAAGCAGAGTAACTTCGCTTTAAAAGTGCGCTGAATATTTTATTACTGCTGTGAATTTATTTCAGGTCACAGAATTTGACACCAACATCACATACGCACACCGGTCTGAATTCTTCCTGGAGCCAGACGTTAGCTACGTATTTCAAGTGAGGTGTCGAGGAACAGGGAAAAGGTACTGGCAGCCCTGGAGCGCACCTTTTTATCACAAAACCCCAGCGACAGGTGAGTCCGTGTACGATTTTCTTCTCCAAGGCTTTCCTTGTCTCCTTTTCACCTCTGACTCTTTTCTAAGTGTGTATATCTTTTCGGCCTTGACTTCTGCCCAAATGGACAAAACCAGGGCACATGCGCAACTTATCATATTGCTTTGATTTTTCTGAGGGTGACTACAGTTTATGAAATTGTTCTCGAACACTTCTGGACATGAAAACCAACTGGATGGCACTTGTTTAAGATGTGCGCCCACTGCCACTGCCCCCAAGGGTCTGATTCCACAGTGGGGGGCGGGGTTAACGTGGGCGTTTCTTACAAACATCCTGGGTGGTTCTGAGCCACATAGTTATATAAAACTATGTTTTGAAAATTATTAAGAGATCCCCCAAAATATATATGCTTCTAAAGGAGACACAATCAAATCATCTCAATAAATATTGATTAACTACCATATACAAAACAATCAGAAAGAGTTAAAACATTCAGACATGGGATTAATCAGTTCTCAAAGAGGTCTCGCGGCTCTATATCTCTTCAGAAATGTTCCTATTCTTAATATTATTAATTTTATATACATTGATTCATGTCTTTCAATAATGATTGTTTAGCTAAGTAGACTTCAGTTGTGAGCAAATAATAAATGAATCCACTGGAATCATCATCCTACCCATCATGGCCTTCTAAACTTCTCTACTGTGTAGTTTATACGCTAGGTTTCAATTTTTCTTTTCAGACATGAAGGACTTCATTATACTCACAGCATTGTTGATATCACCCTTATTATAACATCTTGGAGTTGTGTCTTATGTTTTCAAAGCACTTCCACATACATCATAAATATCAATGACTGCCCCAGAATTAGGGAAACCTAGATCCAGTCCTCAGAAGTTCCTTTGGCTCCCCCTGATGCCCAAATGTTAGAAATACATTATTAAGGGAGTTATTTTCATTAATGAGTATCAGTTCTCTTTTCTGAAAGTTTTTCATTTCATGTATTCTGTCTTAAGTTCATATTGTGAAGAATTTTTAGACACCATTTCAGAGTAGAATTTAGTTGGCACCCGTGTTTTTTGTTGATGAATTCTAGAATCATCTAATAAGGTTATTCCAATTGGTAACTTACTGCTTACACAGTGCTGCTTTGCTGTGCATAAGGTTATTTGATTTTTATGTCCCCCGCATTTGGCAGCGTAATTGGTGCTGTTTTACAAACATGGTAACTGAGGGTGGCTGGCTGGCTGGCTGGCACACTGTGAGTGGGAAACGGCACCTGATCACCCAGATGCTGGGTGCTTCCCCTGCCGCCCTGATCAAGCTCACGAATTTTGGTGGGAAAGTGAAGGTGCGGCCCATATGAGTTATGTAGAGGACCACAAGTGTTCTTTAGGTAAAGGTCTCCCACCCGAGACACGAAGCAGCAAGAATGCCAGAGTGACCCTCCCTCCCACAGTCTAAACTAAATCTTTTGTTTCCTAAGGAGAAAAATCACGTAAGAGGCAAAAATACCAAAATAAATGTATGTGAAAATAAAGTACCTCTAAAAATGTGCATTTATCCACATTTCCCACATTAGCTAAGAGGAGCCATAGCCTACTTTCATGGTACAAATCTCTTTCTAAGATGCATTAAATGAGACACAGTGAATGTGTTTAGTGAAAGTGCACATATTAAAAATGTGTCTCTTTTTTCTGTTTATAAAAACAATGCAAGTTTATTATAATATACAGTTTAGAAATGCCTGTCATTCACATTTTAATCAATTTAGTGCTAATTTTTTCCTATGCACTTATTTTTTAATGACTGGTGGTGTGGTGTATTTGCTGTTTTGTATTCTGATTTTCTCAGATTATTTTGTTGGGTTTTTTGTTTGTTTGTTTTTGTTTTTTGGTACCAGGGATCAAATTTGAGTCCTTGCACTTGCGCAGCAGGCAACGAAACCTCTGAGCTAAATCCCTAGGTATTTTGTTGGGTTTTTAAAAGCTATTAAATAAAAATGTTTAAGTTATTTAATGGCTGCACAACATTCCAGTTTATGGATGTATTATAATATATCTAATCCTTATTTAAATAATATTAAAGGAAAAAGGTTATTTCCTTTTAAATCATTTTCAGTAAACTTCTTTGATAGATTTGCATATAAATGCTCTTTTTTGGGGGGGTCTAAAAAATTATTAGATCAAGAGTTAAGCATAGTTTCAGATGCTGATGCACTTTGCCAAATTGCTTTTTAGAAATCTTTCGTATGAATTCTTTTCTAAAAGCCATCCACCAGGCCCTGATGGTGCACACCTATAATCCCAGCACTCTGGGGGGCTGAGACAGGAGGACTGCAAGTTCAAGCCCAGCCTGAGTAACTGAGTGACTTAGTGAGACCCTGTCTTGTAATAAGTTTTCCATGGAAGTGTATTTGCTCACTCACGAAGGAGGGGCTGTTCAGCCTCACTGTATGCCTGGGCCTTGTTCTGTGCTGGAAAATCTCAGTGAGTCACAGAGACAAAGTTTCCTGCTTTGGAAAAGTTTCATTCTAGAGAAGACAGAAAATAAAAATCGAGCATAAGAATTGCATAAATCATAGCATTATAAATGAAAGTGTAAATAAAAGCAGAAAGAATCAGGCTTCATGGCTGAAGTTTGAGCTGCCTTATGATTACAAAAAAAAAATTACTTTACTTAACCCATTTATTTGATGATGAGGTTTGGGCCAGCCAGCCTTTCCAGTAATTAAGGTTTATTTATGAAGAACACAGTCCAGGCGATAATGTTCCCTTCAGGCAGGAATTTCCTGTTTTATTCTGACATTCTTATGTGTGTGTATCACTGAATTATTCATCTCCACACAGAATGAAACCAAACCAACTCATTTATAAGGGGTTAAATGACTTGTAAGAATCTGTTTTCCTTCCTATGAGTAGACTTTCATGGAAACCAAAACTTTATTCGAAAAAGAAAGAAAGAATGAAGAGAGAGAGAGAGAGAGAGAGAGAGAGAGAGAGAGAGAGAGAGAGAGAGAGCGCCAATCCCTCAGAATATAATATGAAGCTTTCACAAACAGCAGGGGCCATCCTCCTGCTTGGACCCCCTTTCTCTTTACCCTGCTGAATTAGCAAGAGGCCAATTAAGTGGTCACTCTTGGGTGTCTTCTCGATGATAAAGGATAGCTAACGTGTCCGGATGCTGCTGTGTCTTTTCACTGAAAATGTGACAGGCACCTCGAGAAGTATTTTATACGTGACTTGTCCTTTCTGTGTCACTGGAACCCATAAAAAGGGCGCGGTTACTCTTCCATTGCTCGGATGAGGCGGCGAGGCTCTCTCGGTGTTGGCAGACAGCGCCGCCCTGGGCCGGACTCGGACTCGGGCTGTGGGATTCCGGCACCACGTTATTCACAGCTCTGCTGGTGCCGCTGACCCACGAAGTCCTCTTCTGCTAGGACAACGCTAGGGACAGAGCCAGGCCAGCAGGGCGGCACTGTTAATGCGGGTTTGTTCTACAAAAGCAAGCACAGGCGAAGAGAACATGCGATGAGACTCTGCTTTGTCAAGAGTACCAGTCGTGAAGCAGGGTTTGGGGCGAGCGATGAGAACCGGGGAGATGGATAGGGAAGGGGCAGTGCCGCGAGAGCAGGTGCAGCCCTGTCCCCACGGAGGCTTTGGCTGCGTCTGGGGATCTCGCGGGCTGCAGATGCTGGAGCTTCTACCCCACCACACTGACGGCCACTGCAAAACCCCTGGGTCTTAGGTAGTGCGGAAAGTACTCAAAGGGGAGAAGACAGTTTGTCTGTGTAGAAAACCAAAAACCTGAAAGTGACTTCCTTAAATTCACTACAACCAACGTAAAATGGTGCAGGTACCACTCCCTGGCAGGAGTGACTTTCAGGTCTGCAATCCAGAAAGCACAAGCTTTGTAATCCGTTTAATAAGCAGGAGGCCTGGGGGCCGGGCAGCACCTCAGTAATGACTCCACTGAAGTGCTTGCGTCGGCAGCTTGCAGAAGTTTCAGAGAAACCACTTCATACCCTTTGTGTGTGACAGTTTTCCAGAGAAAGGCAAGTACCAGCAGCTGTTCAGCATTTCTCTTTGTTCTCCTAAAATTACTACTTGTTGCATCTCAAAGGGATCCTTGAAGGCTCTCATTAAATTTTCAGGACTTTTAGTAGCTGAAAGAGCAAAAAACAAATATTATGTCACTGGAACTAAATATAGGGGATATTAAATATAATCCAACTTCAGTGGTGGCACATGGAGTTTTTCCAAAATTCTTTCATTTTTAATTAGAGATTTGTCATTCATCCACATGGAGATGGATTATAAATTTGCAAATTCTTGGTTGCTAAACTGCTAAACAATACACAGTGTTCCTTGAAATACTAATCACATTAGACTTTTCATTTGAATTTATGCAAATTTCTTTGGCTCCTGACCCTAATAAACATCAAGTTTGTAAAGAATTTTTAAAAAAATAACTCAACAATCTTTCTGAAGTTTTCCATCCACTCATAGAGAATAAAGACTATGCTTTTCCATGAGGAAGTAATAATCTCCTGCATTTTGTTCCTATTGCTGCTAGAACAAGTTATCAACAAACTCAATAGTTTAAAACAATATACATTTGTTATCTGATAGATATTTCTCATCTTAGTATCTCTGGAGTAAGATCAAGGTTTGCTCCTTCTGGAACCTGCAGGACAGACTCATTTTCATGACCCTACCCAGGTTCTAGAAGCCACCTGCATTGCTTGGTTCATGGCCCCATCCTACATCTGCAGAAAAAGAAGCTCCTTCCAGTCTCTTTCTCTGACTCTTGCTCTGCTACTGTCTTCTTGGAAGCACCCTTGTGACTTCACTGGACCCAGCCATAATCTGGGACTATGGTCCCAACTCAAGTCCCTTGTGCCCTGTAAGGTAACCTGGTCACAGATAGCAGAGATTAGGACAGGAACATCGTCAGGAGGTGTTAGGAAGCCATTACTTGTCCTAAGGCCTCACCAAGCCATGCGCCACCTCCACATG